GAGTGAGGAGGCTTGTGCTAACCCAGAGAAAAGCAAACCGATGTTTCTCTGCAAAAACTGGAGAGAAGCACTATGCAGGTGCCTGAGCTGTGTGGACCTGTACAACCAGAAAGGAGTTGCCTTCTTGCTTGACAAAGAGGACACAATTGCCGAGTACGAGGCAATGGCAAAGCAAAAGAGAGAGATGTTGGAGGAGAAGCAGAGCTCCGAGTTTCTTAACAAACTTGGCCACGTCGAGAAAATGGAGATCTTGACTGGCATTGCTGACATTAAGAATGAGCTTCACTCTTTCCTGGTATCTATCTCTTGGGGTTATCTTGCATTATATCGTCTTTTAACTTCATTCAAACATATTTCTCTCTCGTAAGAGTTTTCATCGCCATTTGTACTGCAGGGGTCCTTTGATCCATCAAAGGCGGTCACTTCTGCCGATGTCCACCAAATATTTGAGAATCTTGCAAAGAAACGCAGACGAATGGAATAAGCTCTTACTACGGTACGTTTACGCATCGAATATTCATCCGTTGTATAAAGCGCAAAAGAACTGTTGTCTATGCAACCGATGAGAAAGCTTTCGTGCTTACAAAGTGGTTATCTTGTGATGGGAAAAGTCTTATCTATCCACAAGTCTATTTTGTAGTAGTGGGCAAAGTAACTCACTCTAAGTACTCCAAATAATGTGTTAAGAATAATTAAACCAAACACAGCAAGAGTTTTATTTAATACACCATTCCTTGAAGCATAAGTTGATTTTTATTTACCGAGCACTCAATAACCTTTGACTCAATAAATTCACATTGAGTTAAATAGAAGGTTAAAAACGAGAAAATAAGATTTTTTCTAGTAATTCGGAAAATTCACAAAAGAAGAAAATTCATCTCTGCAAAAAAAAATCATATTGAAACAACACTAAATGTGGGAGATGAAGTGGGATAAGAAATGAGTTTCAAAATACTCCATCAGTCATAGTGTATTAATCTAGTTTGGCTTTTTCAAGTCAAATTGAAAGAATTTTGAGTTTTAATTTTTGTAATTTTTTTAGTATAAAAATGTTTCTATTAAATTTATCTTTTGAGAAAATTTCCAAAATTTTATTTTATTTTATTAATATGCAATATAAATCGAAGGTAATAAAGGTTTAAAATTTGTTCAGTTTGATTCAAAAATTTTAAAGTGTTCAAATACTTTTGGGTGGAGCTATTAATATTTTATTAAAAAAAGGTCCAATAAGGTCAATACACGAAAATGAAAATATGTTCAATATTGGTTGGTGTATCAGTACATCAAGATTCTCTAAGAGCACTGGGTATACTCATCCCGCCCGCCGGCGTTAAGGGGCGTTTAACACCCCGGGGGCGTGAAATACAGCCCCCCTCCGGCGTTAACGGGGCGTGAGTATACCCGCGTCATTAGTTTGACGCGGCGTTGCTTCGTTTTTTCAGCTGCTCCCCCTTTCCAATGGCTATATAGCCGTTACCCTCCCCCCATTAAAAAAAATCTAATTTTAAAAAAAAACTATAAAATCCCCCTTTTTCATACATCTCTCTCACACCTCATCTCTCTTTATATTCTCACTAAAATATTTATGATTTATTATAAATATTTATATAAAAATTTTAAAAATGGGTTCATCTTCCGATGATGAAAGAAAAGCTTCCTTTTTCGTTGTTTCGCGACGAATTGTATTCAATGGTGGGAAGATGGCCAAGAAGAAGCCGAATCCTCCCGACGACGGACCCGATGCCAATGTCTAAACCGGGATCGAGCGGCCGCCCATGCTTCACTTCTAAACGACTACTTTAATAATCCGTGTGTTTATACATTAGAGGATTTTAATAATCGTTTTCGAAGCCGAGAGATTCACAATGCACTAATGGCTGATTTGATCGAGCATATCTTTAGTCGTTTGAATAATTAGTGATTTCTTTGCACTGTTGTTTTTTTGGTTGTAATATTTTTTTAATCAATGTAATTTTTTTGAATGTTTTTTTATGAATGTAAGTTTTTTTATAATGAATTTAATTTTTTTTAATGCACTAGTGCCATTGCGATTAATTAAAATAATAAATTAATTTAAATTTATTAATTTAAATTTAGAAGATGTATATTTAAAAATGTAAAAAATGAAGCCATTTCCAGTGAATTTTTGGTGTAAATTAAAGCTGACGTGGTAGAGAGAGAAAGTTTGAAGCCCCGGGGCTTCATGACCATTTCCAGTGCTCTAATACTTTAGATACGAGAGAATAAAGTACTACCTCCGTTCCTAAATGTTTGTACAATTTTGACTTTTTTTAGTCATCTGTTTTCAACTTTTGACTTATAATTAAATAAAATATATATTGTATTTTAATTAGATAAAATAATATTAGAAAAATATTTCATATAATAATTTAAGGAGTATTTGTTTAAGGGCTGAATCATTTAAACAGTAATCACCGTCCAAAGAAAAAAGAGTAGGATCTGGCTTATGTGCAAGAATTACATGCATAATACTCGGCATAGTTATTTTTTATCTCTTATTATGATACTCTCACATCCCAAATTAAATTGTTTGTATATTATGGTCAAATTTCATTTTTTTCCCCTATTTTCCATAAAATAATATAGCCACATCTCCACTAATTTTGTAGATCATTTGATGTAGTTTTTAAATATGTAGTTTTTAAATATGTAGTTTTATATATTGTATTTTAAATATGTAATTTTGTAGACATAGCAACGATGCTACATAGGGGTAACATGGGCCTATTGTTCTTCAAAGTGTCTAGAGACAGGGACTTTTAGTAATTATTGAAGTTCTTTTGACAAGAAAGTCAATAATAAATGGAAGAACAATTGGAGGGATTAAGGTGAGGGTAGTGGGTTTCCTTGGGTGGGCACTTCAAGTTTGAATAGAGGGTTCTTGGCAAAGATAAGAAATATTTAGAGTGCAAGAAGAGTGTTATTTCTGACATTTACACCAGAAGATAATTATGTTAAACATAAAATTTCAGTAAGTACCAAGTGCATGTTTCAATTTTTGTCAACAATCTTCGATCATACTACAAATTTTCTCTTCGCAGTGATCTTCCGAACGGGTCTAAGAGGTCCTCAGATATGGAGCTTATCCTTTTTTAGTATATATTTCTTTCGTCTCAAAAGATTCCTTATAGTTTAAAAAGTAATTTTTTGGTCAATTTCTACACGCTATAATATAAATTTATTTGATTAGGTTCATTTTTATTATGATTAGTTGATTACACTAATTTGAAATATTTTAAAACGTAGACGGTATGTGAAAATTTAAGTGCACCTTACGAAGTGAGGGAAAAGTAGATACTCCCTCCGTCTCACTGTCTTTGTCCACTTACCTTTTGGCGCACCATCCAATGCATTTTTTTAATCCATTTTATCTTGTAATTTGTATATTAATAAATTATAGAAATTATATATTAATAATCTATATGTTAAGACGAATCAAATAAGATCACACATGACTATTTTTAGACTTACACATTGAGAGAATTTGATGAGTCAAAGTGCTTAGATAAACAGTTCCAAAAATCAAATGTGGACAAAGACAGTGAGACGGAGATAGTATATAATTTGATATGGGAGATATCAAATTTTATATTTGGTGAAAATAAAAAGGAATATAGTTGATATATGCCCATAGGCTCCATATCTGCACAAAGTGCAGCAAATTCAATCTCTAGCGCATCTCCTCTTTAGAGCATCTCCAACCTTATCAATATGGCTTGCTAAAATTTATATAATAGCAAGTGAGTCTATTTTTTCCATCTCCAAAGGATGTGGTATATTATAGCACATTAATCAAAAAGTAAAATTGTCTTGCTAAACATAGCAAGCCACCCAAATAATAGCAAGCCAAAGAAATTAATAAAAAATGAAATCAAGGGTCCAAAAAAGTAATCTCATCTACTTTTTTATGTGATCTAAGATTTTTTTAAATGTGTAAGAATTTATAATAAAAAAAATATTCACAAAAATATCAAAAAAAAAAACAAAATCAAGAAAACAAAAAAGTTTGTTAACAAAAATTACAAATAAAACATTATTCTACGTTTTTATACCAATGCTACGTATAATATATCTATATTAAAACATTGTTCAACATTTATATTATGTAATTATTTTCTTATTTAATTTCTCACCAGACACTTTTCATTCAGATTTCAGAATACATATCATTTTTTAAGATTTTAGAATTCATATCTTATTATATTTTCAAAATTCACCAAATAGGTCCTAAGAATAATTGGATATGATGCACAAATAGTTATTATATCTACATGTTTGTGATGATTTCAATTTTTTATTGTCAAGTTCTTTGTCTATGTTTGGTTCAAGAAAATTTGGTAGGAAAAAAAACAGAAATGATTTTTTTTCTCATTGTTCTCTCTAAAATTGGAGTGCTTTGATTTTTCTTTGGTTAATATATTTTTCTTATTTTAATTTTGTTTCCTTATTTTCTGTTTCCCTTATTATATTAATCAAGAAAAATTACAAGTATTTTATATCTTATTTTTTTCTTTTCACTTTTGCAATTTTTAAATGTGTGACGAAATCAAGAAAAATTACCATATTATTTTATCAAATGTGTGATGAAAATAGGCTAACAAAGTGAATAAAATTTAACTATGAGAATAGTAAACGAAAAGTTTATTTGTGGACGGAGGGAGTATTTACCTTTGAGTTTTTCAATCAAAATTAGTAAACTTTGATCTCAAATTAAATAGTAAAGATATTAGATAATGAAAATTGCACTTAATCTCACTGTAAGACTTAAACTTTTTTATTTCCTAAATAGGACTTAATAATGACTAGTGAGAAAAATAATATCTAAGTGTTGTTGGACATTTAGTTGAATAATGACTAATAGATAATGAGGTCCTACATTGAAAAATAAAAATATATGGTCTTATATTAAAAAATTCATTATGTTTTATTTATATTTAAGTAAATTATCCTATTAGATATTGATAGGAAAATAAGTTCGTATGGAGTCGAGTTTTTGCTTGAAAATTGGCAGGGAAAGGATCAAAGAGTGTGAATTACGGCCACCGCCCCCAAAGTTGTTTTCTGTTAAAAACGACACCTCAACCACACATTCTCTCTCTCTCTCTCTCTCTCTCTGTTTTCCTTCTTCTCCACCTTTCCCTTCCCAAACAGAGCATTTACAGATCCCTTCTTCAATTTCTGCCACTTCAAACTGAAAAAAAGAAGAAAAAAAAAGCACACAAAGATTAGCTGATCCAACTAACTATGGGTTCTGTTGGGATCCCCAAATCTCTGCCGCCATATGTTTACTACAGTACCAGCGGCGGCGGAGACTGCTCGGAAATGATCTGCACCAGAAATTGTCTCCGGTGGTGCATCAATCTCTTCCCTCCCCCGCCCTCCGACGACGACGACTCCGGCCCCAATTTCTCCCCCCTCATCATCGTCATCATCACCGTTCTCGCCAGCGCCCTCTTCTTCGTCACCTTCTACACCGTCTGCACGAGCTGCGCCAGGCGGCGGCGCCGGAGACGGCTACGAGACGTCGAGGCCGCGGACCGCCGCGAGACTCCGCCGGCGAACGGTGTGGCGGAAATCGTTAAGAGGGAAAGCCGGGTGTTCAAGTACAAGAAAGTCGGCGGCGGCGGAGGAGCGGTGGAAGTCCAAGACACGGAGTGCCCGGTTTGCCTAGCGGAGTTCGAGGAAGAGGAGAGTCTTAGGTTGTTGCCCAAGTGCAGCCATGTTTTTCACCTCGTTTGTATTGACACTTGGGTCAAATCTCAGCCCAACTGCCCGATTTGTCGCGCCAGCGTCGTTCTAAATGATACTCCTCCGGCGCCGGCGCCGGCTCCGGCGCCTGCTCCGGCACTTCCGGAGTCCATCTCAAGATGAAACAGAGATCATTTGTGAGCTTGATCTGGAGATCATAGCAGAATATATATATGGATGATGATTTTCTGTACCCAAAAAATAAATGGTGGGAACCCCACTATGGTTGACACCACACGGATGACAATCTCTATAAGAGACTAATTTTTGAATCATGATATACTCATCGCACTTTGTACCGTATTTTGTATTTCAAAACTTTATTCTAACATAAAATGTAGTTGCAACACTGACATAGCATTAGTTTTGTGCTTACATTTAATATCAATGCAAAGGCTTAGGGTACAAAATGAAATACGAATATGGAGTACATGTAGAATTTTCCATAATTTTTCGTGAACTCTGTATTCAAAGATGATTATGGATTTATGGTCCATTTGTATATAAGTTTATAAACGATTGTTACCCGTCGTGTCAACTATGGTAATTTTTAACATGATTTTAAACTCATTGTTTATGACATAGGGAAACCTTATATTACATTCGGATGTACCTAAAATTAGATATATATTTTTTTGACAGAAAAATTAGATATATTTAGTTAATATTCATTTTGAACCAAAATAATATTTATTATGAAGCAGCGTATTATTTATTTCAAGCATGCTCTGTATAGTGTGTTTATTCTAAAATAATATATTGTCGTTCATTTTGAAACAACGTAATATTTACTTGAAATATGTTTTAATTACAAGTTGCCATGAGGTAGGGTAAATCCTAGTGTACGATATAATGTGTATGACATAGTTACAATTATTATATGTACATAGTAAAATTTTTAGAGTAATTTATTTAAATAAGACTAAAACATAATGACTTTCTCAATATAGGACCATATGTTTTTATTTCCCAAAGTAGAACCATTGGTCATTATCTATTAGTCATTATTCAACTAAATGTCCAGCATCACTTGAACATTAATATATTCACTGGTCATTATAAAATCCTATGTAGGGAATAAAAAAGTTTAAGTCCTACATTGAGAAATGACTTATGTTTTAGTCTTATTCATTGCAAATTTCACAAATTTTTAATGTGAAAATTAGTAGTTTATGTGCAGGTAAGTGAGTATGTAAAATGTTTGATATCCAAAATTAGTGAATTTTTAGCTTTTTTGTTTGTAAGCATTCTGAGCAACTGTTTTGTTTGTTTAGACGCACGATGTGAAAAAAAGGATTGCTAAGAAATACTGTAGTAATTAATTAAGTTACTCCCTCTGTCCTAAAATGATCTTCCCAGTCACTATTCACATGGTCAAACCTTAATCATTTTCTTTACCTATTTTCGTTAGTCATTCGATAAAATAATATAGTCATGTCACCTCTTGTTTTATAGAACTTTTAATGCAGTTTCAAAATATATAATTTTTATTTTTTTAATTTTATACCTATAATCAAATAAATTAAATTGAAAATAATTTTAGTCAAACCTCGTAAACCGGACTGGGAAGATCATTATAGGACGGAGGGAGTACATCACTTGTATTTTGTACCCCCGACTCTCAGTATGTTTTTTTGGTAGAAAGACTAAAATAGGACTAAAACATTGAAAATATATCAAAATACGATTTTCATATTTTTATTCTCGAAATAGGACTTACATTACCAAACATGGTCATGTACATTACCAAAAAACTATTGTAATCCGCATATGTACAGTGTCACATTACTAAAGTACAAAGTCATATTACAGAAAAAAACATGAAAGTCATATTTTGGCACTTTTTTATATGTTTTAGTCCTATTTAGGATAATTTCTATATGTTTTTCGTGAAATCTACACTAAATAGTACTAAAACATACTCCGTACTTAAATTTATTTATTTTCTAAATAGTACTTGAATAATGTTTAGTAGCGGGAACAATGTTCAGTGATGTTGGACATTTAGTTTGACTAATGTCATGTGACGATTGAATTTTAGTACTATTGGAAAAATTATTACTCCCTCCGTCCCAGAAAAAATGCCTCGTTTACTATTCTGGCTTCTCGATAACTTTTGTTTGTTTACTCGTTTTGGTTGACCATTTGATAAGATAAAATATTCTTATCGCATCTTGTTTTGTAGAGCTTTTCATATACTTTTAAATGGTGGTATTACTCTACCAATTTGAAATTAAAGTGATTTTAAAAGAGATGATATTTTGCACGTTGTTCGAAGTGTTGCAAATAAATTAGGACGGAGGAAGTATATTTTAGTACTATTTAGGTAAACTTTTACTTTTCAATTACTTGCATGCACAAGTTAACTTCCCTGTTACTGCTCTAGATTTTTAATAAATTTGGTTTATTTGTAAATTTAAATTGGTAAGTTAATTAAATGAAATATTTTTTTGTATCTTGTCTAATAAAGTTTTTGATGTACTTTTAGAATATTACTTTCGTCTCAGAAAATTTGTCCACTTTCGATGTTTTGTAATTAATTTAAGTTGACTTCTAACCTATAATTAAATAGAAAATATTTTGAAAATATTTTGCAAGATAAAAATAATAAATTCTTGTTGCATTTATATATCTAATATAACTACTTATTTAAATGTCAAGCTTTAACTTTTTCATTTTACCAAGACGAATGAAGGAAATAAAATAATTTTAGTTATTAGGGGAGCTAAAATTAAAAGCATTATTTCAGAGTTCAGAATTAGCTCCTCATTTTTTTTGAGACATGAGATTTTGGATATTTGCCTATTGTATTAGTAAATAAATATTATTTCCCCTAATTTTAGTTACTTACACTAGTCATTATTTTAAGGGTTCGTTGGTATAAGGAATTGGTGGAATTGGAATTGAATTGGAATTGAAATTCCATGGGATTCAATTCCATAGAATTGAATTCTGTCAATTTCAATTCAGTTTTTGGAATATCAATTCCAAATCCACATAATTGTTGTGCTACCAAACACCAGAATTGGAATTGAAGTCTCCAATTCCAATTCCATAGTTTGAATTCCATGTACCAAACGGGACCTAATGGGAATTCGGTGTAGTTAATACCATTCGTTCAACAATCAAATACTCCAAGGAACAAATATAGATATACCTAACGAGTAAATTCTATAATTTGTTTTCTATAACCGCATTGTTTCGGAACAGCGTTAGAGATTAGCGTTAGTGTTTTGCATAAAATTTTAACGGTGTAAAAACGTTAACGCTAAAGGCTACCGTGAGATAGCATTTTCAAAATGCTAACACTGATGCCAAACGGGGCCAACACAAGTTTTCTATATATAGCTGTTTGTTATCAAATATTATGTTCGTAATCTTTCATTTATGGGTACCTTTACATGAATAGTTTTTTACCTTCTGTAATGTTGGTGTAAATTTGAAAGCTAAGAGTATAATTCCATATCGACCATATGTCCAATAACGTATTTTAATGTCAGTTTGACGAATAATATAACAATAATAACTATGTGTGTAGACTAGGATTTTGACCAGGGACGATATCTATAAATGATAACTATAGTAGATAACGACTTTAGTTGACAAACAAACGCATCATCAGTGACCTTTGGCAAGGGGTATGACATGAAAAAATATATGATCATTGTAAAATAATATTTGTAGGCTTTTAGCCCTCAAATTAACATCAACATGACAGAAGCTCAAAATAACTATTCGTGAAAAGATATCAATAAAAAAAATAATTACATGCGTAACATTCAATAATAGATGACTAAATATAAAAAACGTCTTATGATAACAACTAATTATAGAATTTTTCATAATATACTTCTATTTGCCTAATATTTCATAGAAATATTTATTCTAAGAAAATTCTAAATAGACAAGAGAATATACTTCGTGAATACTAATATTTTAAATAAAAAATTTCTTGTTTCATCTTTCACGTAGTTTTTAAAAAATAAAATTGTTCGGTTGAAATATAGAGAGAAGACGGAACCAATATATGACAAATAAAAAATAAAAGCGATAAAATTAATTTGGACTTGATGGTGTAAATAATTACTTGACCGGTCAAACTATAGTAGATCGGGTCTAGAATAGTTTGCTTGATTTGGTAAAGTAAGAAAGGTAAAAACACGCAGATTGACCGGTAGGACTTTAGGTGGAACACATGTAGCCCAATTTATATTATAACGGAGAATGCACGGGTGCTTTTACAAGGGAGTTTAGAGAGAGTGAATTCGGATCCCTCTTTCTGGGGTTTACATGAGTATTTATACTAGGCTAAGGGGGACAAGACCACGTGCGCCTACGTGGGGGCACGCTGCTGATGTGGTGCGAGGTGACTGGTTTCGTCCTCGAGCTGCCCTGTCGTCTTGTGAGGGGAATTACTTCCCTTGTCGCGTTCTGGCTTGGAGACATTCCTTCAGCATCTCCAGCTATCCTCCACTGACATGGGTCGCTACACGCCAAGCCCTTTTAGATTCTCTTCAATTCTGCCGACACTTTCCAACCCTAGAAACTACACCGGGTAATCTCCGAGGGATGAAATCATCGAAGTTAGGGAATAAATAGGGTGACAAAGTAGTTTGACCAGTATACTTTTTCGTGAAGTATACCGGTCATCTTTGGGCCAATCACATATCAATTTGCTGATGATTTAAGTCTTCCTTCCAAAACTTTCAAGATTGACCGGTCAACTAATTGGTCTTCTCCTTTGACCGGTTGTGGGTGGAATACACCCATCAGGACTAATGTATTAACAATCTTGTTAGCAACACGAAAAAATCTAAAGTCAGACTCCTAATTTTGTATTCGTAATTTTGTGAATAATTTTTTTAAATAAAAAAGAGTAAGAATCTGTTTGATACACGAAATTAAAAGTAAAGAATTGTAATTGGGGACAACAATTCAAATTATGTTGTTTGGTAGTACAAAAAAATGTGGATTTGGAATTGATAATGTCAAAAAATAAATTGAACATAGAGAATTTAATTTCATTCAAATCAATTGCATATAAATTCAACTCCTAATTTAATTCCAGTTGAGTCAATTTGTATACCAAAGAGATTCTAAGGGTCGGTTTGGTATACGGAAGTGATGGAATTAGAAATGAATTAGAATTAAAATTCCATAGGATTCAATTTCATAGAATTGAATTCACCAATTCCAATTCATTTTTTGCACTATCAATTCTAAATCCACATAATTTTTGTGCTACTAAACACGAGAATTAAAATTGAAATCTTCAATTTCAATTTCATACTTTGAATTTCATGTAACAAACGGGACCTAAATATATTTTAGTACTCTAATTTTAAAGCATATTGGAACATACATTGGCATAATTTTGTACGGTTGAGAATTATGCGTAAAGGTGAGACGAATGTGTTCTTCATTTAACAAGCACACGTGGAATATGCCATTAGGCCAACAGGAATCATAGTCTGTTTTGATTGAAATAAAGTGGTTGTTTATCTATGGTTATACTACCTCCGTCCCATTTTATAATGCCTGTTTCGGTTTACGATGTTTGACTGAAATTATTTTCAAACTATTTTATATGACAAATGGTATAGAATTAAAAAATAAAAATTACATATTAAAAAACTACATCAAAAGATCTACAAAACTAGTAGTGACAATAATATTTTATTTTATCAAATTGCTAACGAAAATAGAGAAAAAAAGTGAATGAAGTTTGACCCTGTGAATAATAAACAAGCATTATAATTTGGGACGGAGGAAGTAACTTATAAGTAGTCTTTTACTCGTAGAAGTCAGCTAATAACATTATTGTGTCGGTTTATAAGTTGTTTACAGGCAGTAAGATTAAACTAGGATTAAAACATTGAACATATATCAAAATAGGAATTCCATGTTTTTATTTTCGAAATACGACTTACATTACCATACATGGTCATATACATTACCAAAAATGTATAGTAATTTGCACATGTACACTGCCACATTACAACAGGGCAAAGTCACATTACCATAGTGCAAAGTCCTATTTCGAAAAGAAAAAAACATGAAAGTACTATTTTGGTATTTTTCTCTATGTTTTAGTCCTATTTAAGGTGAATTCTATTACTTATAACCAAGACAAAATAAATAAGTCTTAGCTATTTATTTTTAAATTAGTTTGTCCATTTCTTAGTTTTGACCAGATTATTTACAAAATTATCTCTCACCATTTATGAATACTTCCAAATGACTTATCTATCATTTAAGTCATTTTACTTTTATGGAAAATATTTAACTTATAAGCAGTTTATAAATTGAAAACTGCTTACCAACAATAAGCCAATAAGCATCGGCACAAAGAAACATCCTCAAAAATTCTCATTTTGGTAATTGGAACGGCCAAGAACATTTCATACCGAATACATTAGTCTATTAGTCTGTATTTAATTATTCTCTTCATTTCAAAATATTTTGAGCAGATCTAAATTGATTGTTATGGGAGCAGTAGCACCTAGTCAATATTTTTTTTAATATATAGCGTAAAAAACTGTGGTATATTAAAAGAGCGCCCCAGTGAAAAAATTACATGTCCCTTGTAACAAAAAAATTCTAGCTTAAAAGAAAAAATAAATATTTAAATAAAAAAGGAAAATATTTAAAATATAATACCAATGCAGTTATATTAAAATATGATACATTTTATATCACATTTTTTTAGTTTAAAATTTTTTTATATTACTTATTTGAAAATTTGTTTGAAATTATTTTTTTCCCATTTTTCATCATTACAAATAACCTTTAAATTTTTTAAAGGAATTGAATTTTCAGGAACTGCCACAAATCCTACACTTCACGCAAAACGAATTGAATTTTCAAGATTTTTAAATTTTTTTATTTTAAAACTGGTATGGAGACTAAAAATGAAATTTACATATTTAAAAAGTATATCAAAAGTTCTACAAATGAAGATGTGACAATAAAATAAAAGTTCGGTCAAAATTGGTAAACTTTGACTTGAAATTAAATAAAAATGATACTCCGCATTAGATATTGATACAAAAATAGTTTTATTATACTCTGTAGTTATTATATCAAATATTTTCAAAATATTATTTTATCTAATTAATATAGATATATGTTTTATTTAATTATAGATCAAATGTTAAAAATACTTGACTGAAAAAAGTCAAAACTGGACAAATACTCAGAAATGGATGAAATATTATTTTACTACCTCCGTCCCATTTTCTTTGTCCATATTTGACTTTTAGAACTGTTCATCTAAGCACTTTGACTCATCAAATTCTCTTAATGTGTAAGCCTAAAAATAGTCATGTGTGATCTTGTTTGATTCGTCTTAACATATAGATTATTAATATATAATTTTTTTAATTTTTTAATATACAAATTACAAGATAAAATGGATTAAAGAAGTGCATTGGATGGTGTGCCAAAAGGTAAGTGGACAAACACAGTAGGAGGGAGGGAGTATTAAGTAATCAATCAAAACACAGAGATAAACAAAATTTTTCTGACTTTTGAACATAGAAGAGCGTAGTCCATTTTGGGACAAGAGAGTAGAAAAAAATATACAAATTATATTTTATCAAATGAAAATATGATAAAATTTTATTATATGAATAAATAACATAATTTATATCATTTTGAAATCTGAGAAATAATATTTATGATTAATCAAGTAATAAATGAGTAAAATTTATATCATAAATTAAATTGAGAGAGTAATTAATCCTAATTATACTCCGGGGTAACATTTATAAATTGGGACGGTGTGAGACTGGGAGTAATTCACGGAAAATTGGAAAAACATTTACCTGAGTATAATTTATTTCTTTATAAAATTTTACACCGTACTTCGTACTTATATTGCCAAAAACCTAAAAATTAAGCAGCATTATTGTTTGATAAAAAAAATTAAAGTATACGTAAAACATTGAAAATATACTAAAATAGAAGTTCTATGTTTTTATTCCCAAAATATAAATTAAAATACATTTACATTACTTATCATGACCATGTACATTACGTAAAATGCACATGTACAGTATCACATTACCACAATGCGAACTTCTATTTAGGGAATAAAAACATGGAATTTCTATTTTGATATTTTCTCTATGTTTTAGTTTTATTTTGGGTGATTTCTTTTATTGTGACAATTTATTTTTTCTGGGATCCTAACTTTTATAATGACACCTCTCAAGTCCAAATATTTTCAAAATATACTCCGAGTATCTTAAGATACGGAGTATTTGAAAACTAACTTCAAAAGGGCATTTCGTCTATCTTTTTGTCATACCAACTTGTTCTCTTATCTTTTCGACCTTTTCTTCTTAAAATGCTATCAGGTACCATCGATTTTGTATTAAAAACTTTTGAATCCCATCATTTATATTCTGGGGTACATTAAAATATTCAAAACTTACCTCGGAGTGTGTTTTCGTTTTTCCTTATTATTATTTTAAGATATCTCGAGGTATTATTATTAGAGCAAACGGACATGACGGAGGATGGACAAGAAGTCCCTCTGTAGTTAGCTTTCAGATATTTTAAGATATCTCGGAGTATATATATGTTTTAAAAAAACAATGGGACTCGAGAGTTCTTACCACAAAATTGAGTTGCCCGTTACCAGCTTTTTGTTATTGTAACTATGGTGAATGATACTCCCTCCGTCCAATAATTTCTTTCCCGTTTCTTATTTTGGCAATTTTTTTTTTAAAAAAATGTACCATTACACCCTCACTTTCATCCATACTATTTAATTTATTTCATCACATCAACACTTTCATCCACACTATTTAATTTATTTCATCACATCAAGGACAAACATAAAAAGTCTATACTTTTTTTTAACTTTTCATAATCTCCACGCAAGTCAAAACGAAAAAGAAATTATGAAATTATTGGAGGGATGAAGTAGATTACAGTAAGTGTCTGCATCAGGTTGAGAAAAAAAACTACCGAGTACTAAAATAATAAAGGTCCAATTACTTTGGACTGTCCAATAGAAAAAAAATGAATAAAAGCAAAAAATCCAAAACTGCATCCATCAACGCTACACCACATGCATGCAAAGGGCCAATGCCCCTTAGAGTGCTTTCCCTTTCTCCTCTTCATGTGATAAACACAACATATAGTAATTAATAATATACTATAGCTAGCTTAGGAAGAATTCCAACAATAAAACCAGAAGAATCAGGTCATCATAAGACACAGGCTGGCCGCCCGGCTGGCTTGTATCGAACATTTTCCTTCCAACAACAACAACCTTTCTTCATCAATCATCTTCATCCCTTCCAATCCTCTCTGTTACATTCTTGATCCCTCCATCTTCAATTTACATTCTTGATTCTTCCTCAGACAATAAAACCAAGATCAAGAAAGATGGCTTGCATTCTTGTTGGTGTGATTTGAGCTGAAAGCCACCTCCGTTCAAACCCCGTGCCATTAATTGCTCTGGCAAGGGAACTCGAAGAAGAAGAAGAAGATCCAGGGGGTAGGGTAACAATGGAGGAGCGGCAAGGGGACATACGGGTCCCACTCATCTCGTTCTTGTTCTGCATTTTGGTCACCGCCGGCGGCATCCTCCTCTGCATGTACGCTTTCTTCCCGGCTGAATCCCAGCCATGGTTCATCCACGTGGCCTTCTTGCTGATCGGGTCTCCTTGGGTGTTCTGGTTCGTCATGTACATCTACACATGCTTCAAGCGGTGCGCTGAGAGGAGGAGCATCCACAACCGCCAGATTTCCCGGCGAAGCTCTATGCCCACGGCCACCTCCCTGGAGCTTGAAACATCCCAAGACTCCCAACCATAGAATGAGATCTCACATGTCCTCTTCTTCTTTTTTTCCATTCTATATATAATTATTATTTTTAACCCTTCTCTTTTCATTGTTGAGAATGTGATTGTGCATTGTGAAACACCACGGTTCTTTTGACCCCCGCCTTTGGTGTCATATTATGACACCGGTCCATTTTAGTGCTATTCCATTCGATCCAGAAATTGTTCCTACCCTTTGCCCATGTTGGTGACAATCCATTGTCAAATACTCTTTATTTGATAGTTGATTGTCACTAACATCGGGGGCAAGGGGAGAGAGGGGGCTGGTTAAGGGTAGGAACCAATTCAAGGTCGAATGGATCACCTTAGCACCCTCAAATGGACCGGTGTAGACACTAGCCCTTGGTGTCAAAAGAACCTGAATGAACAGCACCTTGAAACAGATGAAGGATACATAATACAGAGTATATATCTTCCTCAATAGCCTAACGGTTCTTGAGACCACTCCACGCTGGGTTCATTTGCTCGTGTGATATTTTTAGCATATTATGGCGTGATTTGAAATCTGGGGGTGCAGGGTGCACCAATGGGGGAAGGGGAAGGGCGGCGTGTGGGACCCACACGGTGAGGAATGGATGGGTCCAGGGCTAGAGGTGAGGGTGCCACCAAATGTTGTTGTACAATATGATGATGCCACAGTTGAGGGTTGGTTTATAAGGAAACTGAGTGTATTGTGTCACCAATTTGATGAACCAAAGTTCTCAATGAGGACAGAAAGGCTCTCTATTTCCTTGTAGATTTCCCCTGCTTGGGGGTGCGATTTGTCAATGCACACAAACTGAGACAAATGCCCATTCACTTCGATCCAACTGCAGCCCGATTCCTTTCGTACCCGGCGTTGTCTTAGAACAGTTCTAACATCCGACACACTTTTCCACATCCCCCTCGCGGCATAAGTGTTGGACAAAAGAACAGACATAGAAGATGAATCCGTCTGAAACTCCCTAGCCACGAAATCGCCCAACGTGAAATCATCATAGACTCTGCAACTGCTGAGTATGGTTTCCTGAGCATGCTTTGGGACAACATTGGCAGGCAGTTGCTTAACAAACTCAACTGCTTCTGCCAACAAACCAGACCGACCTAGAAGATCAACCATGTAAACACAGTGTTCCTGTTTGGGCAACAAATTCCATCTTTTCTTCATCAAGTTGAAATATTCCCAGCCTTTATGAACCATCCCAGAATGAACACAGGCACCTAGGACTCCTGTGAAGGTTATGTGGTCCGGTTCAAATCCATCTTGGACCATTAGGTCAAAAAGCCTGAGAGCTTCCGTGGCAGAACCGTGACATGCCTGTCCTACAATCATGGCATTCCATGCAGCCACATCCCTTTTTTCCATAGTTTGGAACACAAAAGACGCGTCTTCTATAAATCCACACTTAGAGTACATTGAGATCAATGAGCTTAGTATCATGATGTTGGTTTCAAGACCATTCTTGATGACACTGGCGTGAATCGCCCTTCCAGAACCATGGATGGCAAGAAGCCCACATGCTGATATTATGCTTGGAAACGTTCCCTTGTTGGGCCTAAGCCCATTTCGTAGCATTTTGATGTAATACAACAGAGCCTCTTCGTTTTGGAATCCAGAAATCATGGTGTTCCAAGAGGTTACATCTTTCTTGGGCATCTCCTTGAAAAATCTGGTAGCAGTGTTTGGATCACCTTTTTTTATATATGCAGATAGGATCAAGTTCCATGAGACTATATCCCTTTGTGGCATCTTGCTGAAAAGATCAATGGCCTCTTGCAGCATTCCAGCTTGAGAATAGCCATTGATCATAGAGTTCCAGGCAACAATGTCCCGATATGGCATTTCAGTAAACAGTTCTTGAGCCTCCTGTATCTGATTGTTCTTCAGATGACCCTTGATCATTGCTGTCCATGCCACTGTATCCTTTTCGGGCATCTTGTCAAAAAAGCTCCTAGCTTTTACCAATTTCCCAGCTTTTAACAAACAAGAAATCATATTGGTCCAAGAAGCCACATCTCTGGTTCCCATCTTCTCAAACAACCTAAGAGAATCGTCAACATTCCCCCTCTCAGCATAACCTGCTAACATGGCATTATAGAGTGAGATGGTTTTGATTGGTACTATGCTAAACAACCTCTCAGCTTCACTCGGGTTCCCACATCGAAAGTACCCATCGATCATGATTGTCCAAGAAGATGTGTTCCTAATTGGCATTGTATCGAACAATGATCTTCCCTCCTCTATTCTTCCATTGCTCACGTACCCGGAAATCATTGAATTCCAGCAAACAACATTCTTGTCCGCCACAGAATCAAACAACATTCTAGCTTCTTCTAACCTCCCGTTCCTCGCATACCCACTTAACATGGCTGTCCAAGAAACCACATCCCTGCTCGGCATGGAATCAAATACTTTCCGAGCTTCTTGAATCATCCCGTTCCTAATGTACCCAGAAATCATGCAGTTCCAAGTCACCACATTTCTAAGGGGCAATTCGTCGAACAGTTTGCGTGCGGTGAGGACATCGCCTTCCCTGAAACAACTGGTGATTCTCGAATTCAAATCGAACAAAATGCTTGAGCTATAACTCAAGTTACGATTCAGAACATTAACTTTTGCAGACTGTAATTGCACCAAAGAAGTTAACATGAAATTGTGACGCATGATATATTGCTTCACGCTTGGTGATTACGATTAAAGAATGGAGTTGGCGGCCATTGAATTTTAAATTTTTATTTGGGCTGGGCCAAAACGGAAATACGAAATCTATCAAAATCTATTTAAGGCCCAAAATTCTTTTTTCGGTCTTAATTTTTATTTTATCTATCACATTATCTCTATATATTATTAATTTTTCTATCATATCATATTTTTACCGATCACATCTAAAGATTACTCCCTTTGTCCCATTTTAATTATCTGTTTTTCTTTTTTCTCCGTCCCAAAATAAGTTGCATGTTACTTGTTATTCTAAACTTTTAAGAATAAAATACCTAAACTACCCTTAAAATAAGTTACTTTTCTCCACCTTATCTTCTCATTCATCGTCACCCCTCCTAAAAATTAATGAAAACTTTGGAAAACCAACTCTATTTTTTCTTTTCCTTAAATATGTCCAAAAGTCAAAACAGGCGATTGAAAAAAGGACGGAGGGAGTAAATTGAAACCTTGGTTGTTTCTCTAATTTTCTATCAAATTTCCCTCTTTAGTCTTTTCTTTTCGGGCAACAAAGACGTGACAAACCTTTAATTTATTGCGACAACGTCTCGTTTCAGTAGCAATGATGTTTTTTTCAGACTTGTTCATTTCCCATGTTTTTCGATATGTTCTTTCCAATCGACATTCTCTTCAAATATGTACTTTTCAGTCGATGATGTTCAACACTATTTTTAGTTAGCAACGTTCAATGCTTTCTTGATAGGCAATATTCAATGTTCTTAGTGAGCAACGTTTAATTCTTTTTTGATCGATAATATTCAAATAATATTCGATGTTCTTTTCATTCAGCGGCGATGTTTAGTCGTCCATTCATATGTTCCGACCATGCCGACATGGTCAGAGAAAGTATATTTAGAAACAAGTTTTAAATATGTTGGAAATTCAATTTGAGACGGAGGTAAAAGTCTACTACAAAAACGACCTAATAGGGAAATAGGCACAAAAATGAAGAAACCGAAATAAAGAGCATTTTCTGCCCTTTCCCTCCTGAAAGCGAAGAAGCAGATTAGAATGAGTGGGGGGGAAATGAAACAGTTCCGTGGGGACTCCTCCCTGCCCGCCGACCACGGTTGTTTCTTCGCCGGAGAAAATGCTGCATCATCTACGAATCTCCTAGATTCTCCGGCGGATGCTCGGTCGTCCTCTGGACACCAGCTTCGGGAAAAGAGCCGCAGAGCTGCTGCTGCGGCGGCGACAGAGGAGGGCGGAGAGCAGGATGTTGGAGACGAAGGAGATGGGCATGGAGACGGAGATGTTGAAGTGGACGGCGGCGGCGAGAGCGGGGAACACCTTCAGATACAGCAGCTGGGTGAAGGGTTTTACGACCTGGAAGCCATTAGAAAGAAGCGAATTCGACGGGTAAATGATTTTATTTTTTAAAAAACAAAAATAGAGATTGGAATTGAGGAAGATTTGTCCTTTGTTAATTTCACTTCATTTAAACATTTCTTGTGCTGATTTGTTTGGCTTTCTTTGTGATTTGCTTTGGGGAATTGCAAAATTTTGGAACTCCGCCGAACATCAAAAGGGCAAAGTCGAGTACTTAATCAAATGGTAAGCAGTGCCTTATTGTTCTTTGGGCTATAGAGAGCTCAAAACATTTTTTCCCCTCTAATTTAGGACCTGTTTTGGAATAGCTTCAGTGATTAGCGTTTTGAAAAAACTATGTATGGGCAGCGTTTTCAAAGTAATCTGCACCGTTGAAATTTTATCTAAAATGCTAATGTTAATCTCTAACGCTATTCCCAAACAGACCCTTAGTTATGCACGTTCTAAAAAAATCTAATTTTTAAAGAATGAGATTGAAATGTGTAAAAAATCCCTCAAATGAGTTTGACACGCATAACAATGCTTGTACTCTATATCTAGTAGACTAGTACTTGCTCCGCCCCCCAATAGATTTCCTTGTTTGACTTTCACGTAGTTTAAAAAAAGTGTTTAAAAATCAAAGCTTTATGATCAGAATTTGTTTAGTGTAGAGAAAATGATTGTGAGCCACTCATTCATGTATCTAAAAGGAAACATATAAAGTGTAGTGTGATTTTTTAAAGATGGTCATATTAGGAAAGAGTGAAGTTCTTAGGAGGACGTAGGGGTGTATTTTAGACCATTCATCATACTTTCGTAATTGAATATGGAAGTCGGATAACTAATTTTGGATAAACGAATACAATCAAGTTGATTACTAAATCCGGAAGGAGGCAGTACATATATATATATATATATATATATATATATATATATATATATATATATATATATATATATATATATATATATAAACCAGCTGGAAAATAAGTCTCCGATGAGAAACCGTACATTTTTATGGGATAGAGGGAGCAATAGATATACTAATTGTACTGACAGATTAATTGTTCTTGTTATTTTTTTTTCATTTTGGGTGTTGAAAGGAGAGGATGGCCTGTATCCGCCAACACATGGGAGCCTATTGAAAACCTGGAAACATGCCCCGATGTTATCGCTGCATTTGAAAGGAGGTGACTATTGTTATTCTTTTTTTTCTGTTGGTGAAGCAAAGTTATTTTATTGTATTGGAAGAATGTCGTTCTCAATATTACTAACATTTCTTTTTCTTTTCTTGAAGATTACTGTCCCGGAAACAAGGGCGTAAGCCAAAGTCCAACACCATTACAACAAAGAAGCGGCAATATTTCTCTTCTGTCCCTACAAACACTACTTATATCACTGATAGAAATGATAACCAAAGTTTTTCTCCTCCTCCTCCACCTCTTCCTCTTCCCCCTGCTGCTGCTGCTGCTAATAATAGTCGTACTAGCCATATTGAAACAAGGCAAAGGCGGCGTCTTTCCATTGCAGTTGCCAAGGGTAAGGCTCTGGCTGCCAGCTCAACGGATGAGCCTGAATCAAGCACGGAGAATCATATGTATGACAAGCTTTGCAGCGAGACTGATTCTGGAAGGCACCTCCCAGATGAGCTCAATGAAAATCATGAGCAGGATCGAGTTCCAGGAGATTCCGTGCCTTCTAAAAAGAGGAAGTTAGGTCCCATCATGCAGAATCTGAATGGTGACCCTTGTAATGCTGTCCCTGATGTGACGGTAATGGCTCCTGACAGTAATCCGGTTGCAAAACCAGGTTTTGAAGATGGGTGTAGCATTGCTGAGATTGTCAACATTTTGAAATTTGAAGAAGCTTCATCCAATTATACCCCGGATGTTCTTGAAATCTTTGTGGTTAGGAGGTTCGATTCTCGGATCTTTTCTTTTTATGCTTGCCTCTTATGGTAACTAAATTGAGCTATAATAATTCACTTGACTCAAACCGCACTAAAAAAGAATTGTACCCCGATTTTGATTGTGCTTTTGGCTTAATGTATATAGGTCAGATGGGAGAGAGGTGACCGCAAACAAGGCGTTTCTGAAGGCAAATTATACTTTCTTGGTAAGAAAATTATCCACTAATTCTCAGTTCTGGTGATTCGCTTAACTTGAACCGCACTTATTGTAGAACTTTTTTTATTCATCTTGATTGGTTTGGCAGTTGATTGAATTCTATGAACGATTGCTTCGGGAGTTCCTAAGGTCATGATCTTGATGAGTAGAGAGAGAGAGAGAGACGCCGAGACTGTTGTGGCGAATGTGGCATGGGTACCTGTACCAGCATGTACATTAATTACTAAATGAGTGTTGTTGTACTATTTATTTTGTTTGTAGCATGATGCTGTGGTAGTGATGTGGGAGATGAAATGTAGGACTTTTTCCAGTAGTTACATGAGATCCAACATTTGAATTCTTGATACAGACAGAGATTCTAAGCAGACCTTTTTTTTATTTTTAATCCTGGTTTTATGTACTATTATGGAATTATTAAATTGTTGTTCAAATGAAAGTCTGTTAACCCATTCTTGTCTTGCTCTATTCTTATCTGTTATCTGATGGGGTTCTTTATGGGAAAAATTACAAGTGTGGAATTCTACTGGTTTTGTTGTTGTAGGTTTGCTCAATTCATGTACCAAAATCAAAACATATTTGGTACTTGATATGTCCTAAAAAGGTGTTTCTTTTTTTATATTAGGAAAGGTTTACATAGTTTATAATGTTTTTTCTTCAATAGCAAGGGAAGAATAACAGGAAGGACGCCTTATTGTAAGTTATGTACTAACACTTCTCAAATCCCAAAATTTTTTTCTTAGCATATCATATATTTATCTGCCAAGTTTTCTACCAAATGCAAACTCATGACTAAATTACAATTGAATCCAATCTACCCTTATATTTAACATACGGAGTATATGTAATTCATCATCACAAATACAAGTATTTTTTTAAAAAAAAATATAGATGGCACAGACAAATTTGAATGGAATCTCAAGCATATCATTTGATAAATAACATATCTGAATACAAGTATGGGTGTGTTTTGATTAGAATGTTTTGCCAAAACCTTTATAAAAGATTTAAAGAACAACTCACTATGTACAAAAAATTAGAATCTTATCTGACTAAAAGAATCTAATTTCCATCATATTTACATTTTAGAAAAAGTGCCTCCCATAAAAAAATACGTAGGAACACACTAAGGCCACGCAAGCGGGGTCTGAGAGGGCGAATGTAGGGTCCGACCTCTTTGGGGGAAGGATACTTCCCCTCCCCCGGATTGGGGCATTCCTAGTACAAAATGGGAAGAAATATTGCAGAGTGCTACATTTTGGGATTCTTCGCTTAGCATCTGCTCTATTAGCTTCCCGATGACGTTTTAAAGGGCATAATGGTAAAAGTGTCTAACCACTGTGTGTGCACAATTCACCACAAATCTTGACAAGTACATGTCCCATCCTTGAAGAAGTGAAACCTGTTGGCATCTCTCACCAGTATCTCTCTGTTCACCACTTTGGAGATGTACTTGGTTGCAGTATGGCAATCCCCACAAACCCTGAGGTTCTTCATTATTTGCAGAGGAGTCCCCGGTTTCGTGTTTATTAACCCAAAGGCTATGGCTATCCGTTCGCTGTGCCCACAGAGCACGTCCACCTTCTCATCTTCGTCAACATCATGTAACACCCAGTTGAGGTCCGCGACGTACCCATCTTTAGCCATTAAACTGTAAAGTACCCTTAAATGATTCTTGACCTCTTCATGTTGCTCGAAAGACTTGTCTCCGGCGCTGAAAACATAAACCCTGTTGTTTATCTCCACCCAGCTGCATCCAGGTTCTTTCTTCATCCCCCTGGACTTTATAGATTTTCGTATTTTCGTCACTTGGTCCCACTTTCCCAGTGTAGCATACATGTTGGATGCAAGGACATGATAGCCCGGGTCATCCGAATCCATATGGGAGAGATTGTGTAGGGCCCGCTCTGCAGTTTTGGTATCCCCATTTGACCGGCAAGCACTGAGAAGGGCACCCCAAATGGTAGCATCTGGTTGTATTGGCATTGAGAGAATAAACTCCTCTGCTTCGGGTATTAGCCCGGATCGGGACAGCAGGTCAACCATGCATGCATAGTGTTCAAGTCTGGGCTCCATGTGATACTCTCTCTTCATCTGGTCAAAGCAAGACCGGCCTTCTTGTACCATGCCCGAATGGCTACATGCATATAAGATGGAAACAAATACAACATGATCAAGAACGATTCCATGAGTTCTCTTCATTTTGTTGAAAACTCTCAGAGCTTTCATTCCTTCGCCATACATTCCATATGCAGTGATCATCGCAGTCCATGTGATGACATCTCTTTCCTTCATACCCTCAAACACAGTCACCGCGCCTTTCAAGCTTCCACTTTTTGAGTACATTTCGATCAATGCATTCGCGATAGGGATATCTGATTGGAAACCAAGCCTCAGTATCTGGTTGTGAAGTTCTTTACCCTTTCGTTTGGCAGCAAGAATGGAACACAGAGGGAGGGAGACTAAAAATGTGGCCGTGTCTGGATGGATTCCATCAGCTCTCATCTTTCTAACCATTTCGAATGCCATGGAACAGTCCTCTCTACAAGCTGCAATAATGGTGTTCCATGTGACAGTGTCTCTAGAGTCCATGTTGCCAAAATGTTTGAGAGAGTCGTGAATCTGTCCACATTTGGCATACATATCCACCAACGAATTTCCGAGAAGAATTCTAGATTCATATCCTCTCTTGATAATGTCACAATGGAGTTCTCTTGCACAATTTATGTTTGCTGATTGTGTACAGACGGATAGAAGAGTCACGTAAGTTGCAGAATCGGGAAGTGTTTCTGTCTTCATCATTTTGAAAATTTCTATTGCTTCCCTCTGGAATCCGTTCTCAGCATATCCGTTGATCAAACAGTTCCACGACACCGAATCCCTGCATTTCATGCAGTTAAAAACATCCCTTGAAGCCATTAAGTCACCACATTTTGCATACATGTTGATCATGATGTTGTTAGCCGTGACGTCACATTCATATCCCTTCTTAACTATGCATTCGTGGTGGATATACTTCCCCAACCTCAAGTCTCCTTCATAGCCACAAGCACGTAGAACAGAAGTTAGCGTCATCAAATCCGGTTTATTATATTCACAATCCATTTCTAGAAACTTCTTGATTGACTCGATATACAACCCCAACTGTGAATACCCACAAATCATGATGTTCCATGTGACCGTGTCTCTATGTGTCATCTCACAAAAGAGCTTCTCGCAATCCATCGGCCTATCAAACTTAAAATACATGGATAGCAATCCGTTATTAACCGTTCCATCTTTCTTAGTTCCAACCTTCTCCACCAACACATGAACGGTCTGCCCCTCTGCAACCTTCATCAGTCCCCCGCATGCCGGTAGAACATTCGACAAAGTAAAAGAATCTGGCACAACTCCAACCAATCTGGCCTGATAAAAAACTTCCAATGATTCCTCCCAATACCCATTGGCACTATATGCAGATATGAGACTATTCCAAGAAACCAAATCTTTCCCAGGCAAATCATCAAACACCTTCCGTGCCATCCCCAAATCACCCATCCTCGCGTACATATCAATCAGAGCATTACAAATGTACAAATCCGACTGGAAACCCAACTCCATCAGGTGATCAGAAACCATTCTTCCCATCTCAGAATCAGATAAACTGCCGCAAGAATTAATAACCGAAGGAAAAGTGTAATTATCCGGCACAACGCCTGATTTCCTCATCTGGGCATAAATTTCCAATGCCAGAGAGAAGCGCCCGTTATGGGTCATGGACCGGATGATGGTGTTCCACAAGTAGACATTTTTGGTATGCGAATTCAGGCGAAAAACAGCAAGAGAAGAAGGTGAATCTTTGAAGTCTGAGTACCTGGAAATGAGTTTGCCGGATAAGAAAACAGAGTGGCGGTGGCCGGAAATGATTATAAAGGCGTGAACTTTGCGCACGTCTCTTGGGGTTTTGGAAAAAGACAAAGCTTTGGATATTAAAGTGTACAGAGAGCAATGGGTTCTTTGAGCTAGCTCGTGGAAGTTGCAGGCGGTCATGGATGAAGCAACCATCTTTTGCAGAACATTGCCACTGATCATTACTCAGTTTCCGGCAGCGATATGAATGTGATTTCGTGGCCTCATCTATAAAACACATAACCACAATTGGCATATCATTCAAATTCCTTTAATAAGTTTTACTCCATATCATCTTGCTCACATAAATAAATTATGACAAAACAAGACGATTTGGCATATGCTTGATTAATACTCCCTCCGTCCCAATTTATAGTGTCTCTTCATTATTCATATAGTCAAACTTTATTCAGTTTCTTTCTCAATTTTCGTTAACAATTTGATAAAATAAAATACTATTGTCACTACTAGTTTTGTAGATCTTTTGATATAGTATTTTAATATGTAATTTTTATTTTTTAACTATATACCATTTGTCATGTAAAATCAATTGAAAATAATTTCAGTCAAACATCGTAAACCGAAACTGGCGCTATAAATTGGGACAGAGGGAGTAACTTTTATTTATATGTCTTCTCATTGAGTATTTGATAAAATAAAATATTTGTGTCATCTCTTATTTGGTAAAACTTCTAACATAATTTTTTAATTTATAATTTTTATTCCTTATTAATTTATCAATTTGTGAATAAAATAATTTTAAAAAACGAGAGATTTTGCTTCGTAACTCCCAATTTGTTATCAAATTAAAGACGGAAAGAGTAATAACACCTTTGACAACATAACACAATGGCCAATGGGCATACAAATTATTTTTAAATTACATTGGTGTCTTAGTTTAGGAAAATGCTAGTCACAAACTTATACTCCCTCCGTCCCAAAAACTTTGTTACGTTTAGAAAAAACTGCGTCCCGTAAAGTTCGTTACATTTCTATTAAAAAACAACTTTTACCCCTTACTTTGTCATACTCTACCTATCACATCATACCTTTTTTCTAATAATCTACCTATCACATCCTACTTTTACCCATCACATCAAGGGTATTTTTGGAAAGTCAATACCAAAATATCCCTCCTTTAATTTTTCAAAAAGTCAAACCGTCCCATTCTTTTTGGGACGGAGGGAGTATTTTACAAACTGCGAGTCGTTTGGTATACGGAATTGACAGAATTGGAATTGAATTGGAATTGAGATTCCATGAGATTCAATTCCATAAAATTGAATTCTGCCAATTCCAACTCATTTTTTGCACTATCAATTCCAAATCCGCATAATTTTTGTGCTACCAAACACCAGAATTAGAATTGAAGTTCTCAATTCCAATTCCATAATTTGAATTCCATGTACCAAACGGGACCTTCACAAATTTGTCTTTTGTAGATTTTAAATTAAAATATCTTTTATTATTGGAGTGCATCTTATTTTTAAGAAAGTGCTAAAAAGACAAGTTTGTAAATTTTGTAAACTGTTTGATTGTGACTCTAATATTACTCCTTAGTTTATACACTGATTCAGAAAATACCCTAATTTACTCCGTCACTTTAACTAAGGAAAAATAAATGACTACAATTTATTTTACTCCGTAAATAAAAACAATTTTTTTAGACCTCAAATCAGAAAAAGAAAAATGATTTTTTTCTAGAGAATGGTGAAAGAAAAAGGAAATTGAAGAATTGGTATAGTAGTAGATTCCCATTTAACAAACTTGGCACTAACTTTTCTACATCTAAGCTACAATATATATGACTTGTCCAACACTGAAGATCTTGAGGATGTTAAATAAGGAGTCCCAGAAGAACCAAACCAAAACTAAAAAATTGAAGGAAAAAAATAACACTTTTTATTACTGTAGTTGGTACAACGTAATCCTGCGTCTCGGCCCCCCTTCAACATGAATGGCAATGTCGAATTCACCAGAACCAAACCAGCCAATACTAATCTGGGAACTCTACGAAAAATGCAGCGGTTTCATTGGGTTACTAATGTTTTTGCAGACCTTGATTTACAAGGATGCACTTAAAACATCAGATTGTCTGTTGATAACCTGACAAAACATTATTACAAAGGTGACAGGAAACTCATATTAGAGTGTTTGGTGTTACAGGAGAGGAAAACAATAGTGTCTGTGGGAATTTCGCTCTTACCTTGTTTTCAAGAACAGTGCCGTCAGGGATAACTATCTTTGTTTGTGGCGCTGCTTTTATTACGACCTTCCCCTGCAAACGTTGAACCAGTGGTTGGGTAAGGAACCATTTTTAACTTCCATTCTTTATTTTTGTTTGGATGATTCAGTAGAATCAGTTGTTAAAAATCAAATTTTGGAAGCAAAATTAGCAACGGGTTCTTTTCAGAATCTAAGTGCCCGTTTGGCAACAGCTTCGGCATTTTGAAAAGGCTGTCTTATGGTAGCATTTAGATTTTTTGGCATTTTCAAATGAAATTTCCACCACTAAAAAATTATCCAAAATACTGACGCTAATTGAAAATATCCCTAAAACAAATGCAACATTCAGCTTATTCTGGAATGAGAATCTGCAGAATAAAAAGAATCAGCCTTTTCACAATCCAGGTCATATGGCTCCTAAAACCATGAATTGTGAGGAAACTGGCTATGTATAAAGAGCAGGAATGACCTAATAATAATCGCAAGACCAAAATGTAATGCATTGTGTTCCTAAAACTTCTTTTTCTTCATACCTTGAGAGTGATTCCACTTCCAAAATAAACATCGCCAGTCACGTTCAAGCTGTCAAGCTCCACAATGTTAGGAATGGACTTGAAGCGATTATGGAACTCGCCGACCTAAATGCAATTATTATGGAGATATAAGCAAACATAAAATTGTCAAGAGATACATGTCAAGTTTTCTATGCAATCCACCTTCTCAAACTCGGGCCCCAATCGAATAGAAGGGTCACAAGAGTTTGCCCTGGCAATATTTCGAACCATAACGCCGTCCACTATGCTGTAAAGATCTGACTGCAGAGACAATCAATGTGAGATTGAGTCCCCTGAAATCTATTGTCAAAAGCAAAACTATTGATTTGCCTGACCCGATAAAGGAGTAAATCTGATGTCTTTCGAAGTGGAAGATATCTTGACATTGGCAAAGCTATAGCAAGTGGTTGGTCAAGAAACTGGAAGAGTGAAAAATATGCCAGTAGTTTAATAAGGCACGATTCAATATGAACCCAAAAAGGAACATTTCAGAGAGTCAGTAGAATATATTGAACCACGGCACTGCGGATGGTAGAAGTACCTCTGAAAGTGAGAAATTCTTATCAGTTCTTCGTGCAAGCGAATTTTCAATGAGCTTTAAATTCATCCACCTGTGGAACATATTTGCTGAGTGATGGAATGTTCTTGTTTTGATGTTTAATTTAAGGTAACTTGCAAGTTGCAATACCCACCCACCCCCCCCCAACAAAAAAAACTTACAGCTTCTTAGTAGATTTCAACTGCCCCGCCTGCATTAAAATATAAAAAAAGATTATGTGCATTAGTGTTAGTGATCACATCAGAGAAACAGAAGAAAAAAACAATCAGAAAATATTTTTTCTCTAGGAAAAAAAATGAAGTGGCATTCAAGATTTTTTCAAGTTGAATGGTAAGAAATCATGTTATACTGTAGCAATTTCATGAAGTGTTTAAGATCAGAAGATAACATTTAAATCTATCAGACTACTAGTGAATTTTCTGCAAACAATAACATTCTCAGATTTCTTTTAGTCTCTAACCACTTACAATTACAAAGAGAATAGCACAACCACTAATAAATTACAAAGAGATTGGGTACTCGACTACTCGCATTCAGAAGCGGTGCATAGTAATCGGTATAGTTTAACAATTAATTTAAAAACACAGAAAGTGAATTGTAAAGAATGGTATTATACATTTATTTCTAGACATGTGGTGATAATCTGATAACACATTTTCTAACTTCGGAATATAGTCAATGCTAGAACAAGTAAAGTGTCTAAAATTACAAGCATGTAAAAGCCACTATTGGGACCATGTAACTTCATTTACTTCTTACGCTGCCTTAGATACGAACACCTCTAGATCTAAGATTGGAGTAGTTGGGTAGACTTGAGAGCCCTAGTAATTTTTCTAAGTTTTTTTATTAGTAGTGTTTTTTGCCTTAGTCTGTAGTGTGCGCTTGTGCTTTAGTTCTAAGAGTCTGTTTTCTTTTTTAGTCATTGTGTGTACTTCGTGCATGCTTCAGTAGCTTCTTTGTTTGTACTTCTGACTTCACGCCAGGGGTTTCTTGTAAATAACCTCTCTACTTCATGGTAGAGGTAAAGTTTGCATACATACACCCTCCCCAAACCCTACTTCTTGTGGGATTCTACTGGGTTTGTTGTTGTTACTTCTTATGCTCTATTATGTTTTGGTTAGTAAATAAACAGCTTGTTTGTGATAGAGTGAAATTCAACAACAATAAAGCTTTTATCCCAAGTGGTGTGGGCATTAGTATATTAGGGTGAAAATCGGGATTTTTGAGTGCATAGATTCCATAAAAAAACAGATGAAAAGGAACACACAAATTTGGTAAAAGAAGAAATAAAGAGGCATGGAGTATATTTTACTGATGGTGCTATGACATTTTTCGAACACCATGCACAATTGGCTTTGAAGCACAATTGATAAACTCATGCCCAGTGAAACATAAAAGAGCACGATGTTACTAGATCTGCAGTCAAAACAAACCTTGATTCTTTGTTCTTGAGCCAAAAGCTCAGAATTTTCCACACCAGAAGAGGTAGGTAACACCTGAGATATCACAAAGAATTAGATGCAGTAGTCAAGTGAAGAACCAAATCTACAGAAGTTCTTCTGTTCGTACCTCAACACAGTATTGGATGTTGTTCCTAACCAGATGACTTAGGATTCCTACATATATAAGATTTTAAAAAAAACATCAACACTAATTCTTTACGATGTGCACATAGAGTAATTGAATGCTGTTAAGGAGAAGAATACTTGGATCCGCCAAATTGCCAAGGTCATCGGGCTGCACCACAAGAATATACTCTTTACCCTGCAGTATAGTAACACCATTATAGCAGATCATTATTATCCAACAAACCATAACTTATTTGGCATTTGTGCCTCTGAAAAAAAAAGAATAATCACAAATGCATGTTTGGGTTTAAAAACAACTCATGTAATGAAAGAAAAAAACGATGAAAAAAGGACCTGGGATAGTAGCCCATCAAGCTTCCCGTTGTTCTTCAAGGAAATGAAAACTTCTCTCAAGTTGGTAGGGTATCTTGCAATAGAAATTTTAACAATGAAGAGATTTTCATCAGGATTTTCAAAAGCTATACTCAAGTGATAATTAAGCAATACTAAGAAGCATTAACATAAATATTTTTTGATAATACTGTACACAGTTTGACCTGTTGAACTTCACCAGATAAAAACTGTTAAAACTCCACTTAGTTTTCGATTGACAGACCATTCGAAATTCATGGCAACAAAAAGTCTTTGTCACATGGTAAATTTATACACTCAAGAACAGTTTTGCAATCTACATAAACCAAACTAGTAAAAACAGCAATCCAGATTCTTGGAACATAAACAAATTAAACCGAATATGCTTTCTTGTTACATAAACCAGAGAAGACAGCAGTAGTAGAATGAATGTTTTATGCTTCTATGTCAGCAGGGAAAAGCAAACTCGTGAAAGAGAATGTCAAACATTAGCAACAGTGGAGTATATATTTACATATTCAAATAATTTGATTACTTGTTACTGGATATAGATTCTCTGCATATCGTCATATTCTCATGGTGAGTGTCTACTGTTTTACGTTAGCAATATAATAGAAAAGGTGCTGCCTTTTCTTGAGCATGAGACATCATGGTCATCACCGTCGTCATCATTATCAGCACCTTAACCCCAACTAGGGGGGAAGGCGGTGGCACTAAGCATGAGACATGGTGTCAAGTAATAACAAGAATGGATTTAATGCATTTGATGGCTAACTAAGCTTTTTAACGAGATTCTAGGATCTAAGAAGATGCCTATCGTCAATGTATATATTCGTGTACGAATATCCAATATTTCAATGTACACAGTACACATAGCATATGCACATATTGTGCACACACTTGGAAAGACTTACAAGTTATGCCTTTGGCTTGATTTCTTAGAATTCTTGAGCAGATCTCTATCACTAGTTTCATCACGGCTCTGAATCCAAAATATCACTTTTAGCAGATGCAACAAAATATTTTTTTAAAGAAAGGAAAAACAATGTGTGGATTAACCATTCAATGGAATCTCAACCTTAAAATTAGACACACACATACCCGGAGAAAAGTGTGGACGTTTTTATTAGAATGCTTTTCCAATACCTATATAAGGAACTATATATAAGTTTTGATAATGACTCATTTCAAACCAAATGTGGTGACAATAAGAATCGGTCACCTTCTGAATAGCATTTTCTGTGTTAGATGTGTTCATCAGAAGCAAGGGAATGCTGCATCCATATTTCAAATTGAGAGACTACAAGCCAATAACAATCAAGGTTCAGAACCAAGGAAAGTCAAACTTTGCAATAACTTTAAATGTTTGATTCAAATATTAGGTACATGAGTGCAACCTAATGTGAAAAAAATTACCTCAATGTTGTTGATAATTACATCCAAACAAGTTGTGTCATTGGTTATTTCAAAAGTACATCTGCATGTAAAAAAAATCAAAGTGAAGTGCTTTAAGATTATAAGTTGGTCAAAAGTGTCTTAAACTTCTGATTCTATAAACTTCAGCACCACTCTCATTACCAACTTACCCGATATTATACCACAAATCACGCACTAAATCATACGTAACACTAATGTATCTAACATAGATGCTTACTTAGGCTCATTGAGGCCCATATCTCCACCCACACTACCAATGAATTTTAAAATAGCAAGTTTGTCCAACAGCTGTTTAATGTCAGAAAGATCTGCAGTAATAAAAATAATAATAAGCGGGAGCATCATGAATGAATCATAAATGAAATAACTCTCAGTAGTGAGGAAAAAGAAAAGGGATCAGAGAAAAGCAAAGTTCTACCCTCAGAGAGTGGTTCTAACTTTTCAAATGGGAGAACCAATACATTGTCTTTGCTATCCGTCTTGCTTTGGTCGGATAATTGGACATCCTCTCTTCATATGCATATACAATTGAAATAAGAAATTCAAAAAACAATAAATTAATGACCAGACTTTCCCTGATCGATACAAGAATCTATCACGGCTATCCTAAGAGACAAAGTATTCATGTTATTCATTAAACTCACATTTTACACTTAATCTAATAATGCAAACAAGAACAAATAGAACAAACATTCACTTTAACCCCTCAATTCCCAAAGACCTAAACTCTTAAACTAAGATGGTCCACTGGTTGAAGGAAAAAGAACTTTGATACATCAGACAGAACAATCTCAATTAAAAAAAGGTTGCTCCTTGAACAAATGTGATGGGACAAATATGAAACCAAAAAGAAAATTACACCCAAACTTCAACAAAGTGATAAGAAAATTGACATAATGGCGCTTACCGAGTTTCGGGTTTGCCAGCATTCAACCTCTTCTGCTCATAAAGAAACGTCTTGGTAATCAAATTGCAGAACAAATAGACAAATCGGGCAGAATCATTCGCAGGCACAGGGTATGTGATCTTCTTAAAAGTTTCCCATGGCGTGCTGGAGTCAACTAGCCCGACAACCGGAATTTGCAGCCTATCAGCCTCGTCAATGACAGAAGACTTCCTGTCAGAGTCGAAAATCACGATGCAATCGGGAGGATGGACGGCGGTGAGGTTGAGCTTCTTGTTGCGGCCCCGGAACTTTCGAGGGCTCGAACTGTTCGTCAAAAAGCCTCCGAGACGCCAGGACGTGTCGTTCCGGCAGCCGATGGTCTTCGTCATGTTGTCGATGATGTCGTCGTAGAGTGAGTTGGTGTTGACGAAGATGAATCGGGCCCTGTTTCTGACGAGGCTGCCGATGAAATTGCAGGCGCTGCGGAGGCAGATGAGCGTCTTGTCGGGGTCGATGATGGTCATGGCGTTGCGGGTGCCGGCGGAGTAGATCTTGAAGTGGTTCTCCGCCACGCGCTTCCCCAGGTGGGCATTTATGCTGAGGAGTTTCTGGATTAGTACTGAGTGCATCGGCATTTCTGGGTTCCGGAAAAATCGACGGCGCTGACTGGTAGTTACTAGATCGACTGCCTGTGTGATGATCGAATTCCGGGTAGAAGAGTCATCACCGGAGCTTAGCTCCGTGCTCGATCGGAATCGAGATGATAAACGGCGACGAACCGACGAAGGAGACGCAGATTTGCAGGGTTTAAGAGTTTTTCATTTTTTTTAACTATCTAATGTTTTTTAAATTAATTTACACAATTAACTTTTTGTCTAAAAACATTAATGTTAAATCAAAAATATTGTTCCTTAAAAAATCGTTTTCATTTCTATTTCTTTTTTTATTCATTTAATAAAATAATAATATGTATACTTGTCATTTTGCAACCATTTTTGTTTAGTTTTTAAATATATTTTTTATATTTAAAATTTTATTTCATTCATCTCAATTTAAATTGTCTGGTCAAAATGAAATCGATTAATTTACTTGATTTCATTTTTTATTTAATAAAATAAATAGTAATGTCAAATCTTATTTTGAATTTGATGATTTTTTTTAAATTCTAGCTAGTTTTTACATAAATTCATATAAAACTAATTTAGTCAAACATCGTAAATAATAATATACTATTTAAAATAAGACATAGTGAGTTTTAAAAAAAATTAAACTAAATTGAAAATAATTTCTGTCGCTTAGCACATATTATAATTCAGAGACAAAATTATTTTTTGAAACAAAGAGAGTATTTATAATTATTCACGGAAGAAGAGAATTTTATTATAGACTTAGTCGACATTGACATTGTCACATAAATTTTATAGTATATATATTTTTAAATTTTTATTAATTTAAACAGACATATATACAATAAAAGATTATTAGACTTTATAATTCAATTCAATTATGGGGTCACTCGGTTAGCAATAGCCCTTACGTATGATACTCATTTGAAATATTGACAATTTCTACTCTTCCTAAAGTCAAGTAAACCCCACCTCGATTGAAAATAGTGCGAGGGTGAGCTCGGATCAAGCCGTGATGGAAAGGTTTACCGAAGGTATTACGTGGGGAAAGAACGGTTTTTCGAACGGGACATCATAGCTCACAGGTGATCAACTAGATTCAATGTCATCTCATTACATTGAAATCCAATTTAAGGTAACCAATCTGTTCAATTATTCAGACTTTATAACCCAAACTTCAATTATAGTAAAACTAAAGTACAAATGTTTAGATGTTGTTTCAACTCAATCCCCATGTGCCATTAATTTTTAACATTTTTTTCCATACGTGAAATAGAGGGCAAGCACGACCATGCATAATATGTTAGTTAATTTTAAAAAAATTCTAATTTCTTCTTTTTAGTGATCGTCCGATCGAATCTGAAATAAATTTCGAGGATGAAGTTCATTCTTTTAGTTAATTAAAAAATTATTATGATATTTCCCATCCAAAACTAAGTTCTCATCTCATTTTAATGATTTAGGGATCTTGATTTTTAAATATGAGAAGTCGAGAATTATTTTATAGTACTCCGTATTATTACCATTGTTGTTGTCGTAGTTAATTAAAATTTTCTAATTCTCCTCTTTTTAGTGGCCGTTTGGCTAGATTTGAAGTCGGACATGAAGCTCATCCTTTTAATGAATTAAAAAATTGATTATGATTTGTCTCACCCAATGTTAAGTTCACATCCCATTTTGATTGTTCAAAATTTTGTTTTTGAATACGAGAAGTCGAGAACTCTTTTATAGTTTTATTATTATTATTATTATTATTATTATTATTATTATTATTATTATTACATAGAAAAAACCAATTAAACTTATTGTTATTCCATATATGCATGAAGAGTTATGTTCCAATTTATTGCTTCGTACAATACATAGGCCGGAGTTCTCTACTGCAACATGTTGATCTTGACCCACGAGCAGTGGGCCACAGCCCTCTTGGTTTATTATTATCCGGCCCATTCTTTTGAAAATGCAAATTAAACGCCTGAATAGCAAATGAGATCATCAAATGACCCTGCAAAATTAATTAATTAATTAATGACCTATAAGTAATTATTCAACACTTCAAACTATTAACAAGTAAATATGGTCTATTTTGAAAAGACAAAAAAAGCTAAACAAATTTAATGGAATACAAATTCAAAAAGTACCAACTTAACTCAGTATATTTAGACAAAAGTGAAACTTAATGTAGGTGAAATTTGGATGTTTTTTTTAGATGGGATGGATAAATTGGTAATAAACAAATATGATATGACTTGTAGTTTAATAATTATTGTAATACGGAATAATACCCCATTCGTTCCATTAAATCCTTAACTTTTCATTTTTTTCTAATTCTCTAAAACACTCTCATTTTCTATTAAAAATCCATTTTTACTCATGTTTTTTCATACTCTACATATCACATCATACTTTTTCACTAATAAACAAGTTATCACATCTTACTTTGACTCATCACATCACGGATAAAATTGAAAAGTCAACCAAAAATAAACTTTCCTTATTTTGGCCTGGCTCAAAGTCAAAATGAAAAAAAGTTTAATCGAACAGAGGTAGTAATAAATATGGAGTAAAATTAACATCTTTATCCTTTAGTATTTGTCTGGTCTTGATTTTTTTTATTTAAAATTGAAAGAAGTATGGAATGATTTAAATGTAATATGAATAACTTTTTTGAGAATTTGTTTGATAGAAATAAGAACTTAATTAGCTTAGCTTCTTCCAACAAAAATGAATTATTAGGAAATAAGAAAATGTGATTATAATACTCCTTCGTCCAACAAAACATTACTCATTTTGATGTATTTTTGGTCAAATAATTACACGTTTTTAACATAAATTAAATATAATCTAAATAAAGAAATGTTATAAAAATTTGATATATCAAAACTACATCCTAAGATAAATCAAATTATATTAAATTTATATTATAGTTCAATATATTTTTCTCATAATTTGTAGTCAAAGCGTGTAACTATTTGTTTGAATATTATTGAAAATGCTTTATAGGATGGAGTGAGAGGGAGTAATAAAATGGCCGGAAAAGAAAAGGAGTGGTCGGCGGGCGATATATACTTGCTGCAGTCGACGTCCGGCGAGAGAGGGATAGGGAAGTTGACGTTGCAGTCGCCGGGAAGCTTCTTGGCGCGGTCCAGATCATATTTCACCTGTTTGGAGGCATCTTTAAGACACTGGCAGGCAGTCTTCTTGTCCGCCGGAGAACTTATGATGCCCGCCAGCGATCTAAATCCGGCACAGCACATTACCGGCGGGGGCGACGAGCCCCCTCCCGTTAGGTACAACGCGCATGGCTGCATGAGGGTAATCACCGTGGCGCAAGTGATGGCGGCACGCGATGGTGCCGCCGTGAGTACGAGAAGAATGGCACACAGAGCGGCGGGGATCGACGGCGTCGCTGCCGTTGGCCTGGGAGAACCCGCCACCATCATTTGTAGATGTTTAGACTCAAATGTGATTAATTAAGGATTCAAGGTAGAGTCTTATGTCCAATTCCATTGGTATTTATATATTATCCCTCACCTCCATCCCCAAAGATTTCCCTATTGATATGTTTGGGAACATGAATTTGAATTTCAAATCTCGATTTGACTCAAATTTTATACTTACGGAGTATTCGTCCAGTTTTAACTTTTGAAACTGTTCATCTAAACATTTTGACTCATCAAATTCTCACAATGTATAAGGCTAAATATAGTCATGTGTAATCTTGTTTGATTTGTCTTAACATATAGATTATTAATATATAATTTCTATAATTTTTTAATATACAAATTACAAGATAAAATGGATTAAAGAAATGTATTGGATGATGTGTAAAAATGAAAGTAGACAAATACTCTGGGACGGATGTAGTATTTGAAAAACTTAAAAAATTTAAATTTGGATTTGGATCAAGAGCAATTCTACATTCACAAACAGGATACTCACAAACTTCACAAACTTCACAAACTTACTATTTATTGTTTAAATTTTTATTTTAAAATTATTTTAGATTATTTAATTTTATTTATTGGAGTTCACAATTAGTAAGTTTGTGAAGTTTGTGACCATTTTATTTGTGAACCAAGCATTATTCTTTGGATCAAATTCTTCTCATTCATAACGAAGCTTAATTTGAAACCCATGCACTTCCCCTTGTTATTTGAAATTCAAGATTTTAAATTTTGGAATTGAAATGCATGAATTGAAATGAATGCTAGTTGCCAAACATTACCCATAAGAAATTATGATGGTTGATTTAATTTATTTTATTTTAATTTATATAAAAATAAATATCTCTTATAAAATTTAAACTATAAATTCTACATTTAAAACTATATCAATAATTCTTATACAACAAAAAAATGAAAACACTATGTTATTTTATCAAATACCCCTAACTAATAAAATTAAGAAAAAAAAGTACTCTGTAATTATACTGTGACTCTGAATGAGTGAATACTCTACTTGCTCTTGACTATTTGTCCATTTTTTATTTTTCTTGCTCAAAATTGGTAATTTTTAATATCAAATTAAATAAAAATGATATTATATTGATACGAAAAATAATTTTATTAGATTTATTATATACGAGTAAAATACTTTCAATATATTATTTTGTCTAATTAATACTTCCTCCGTTCCTAATTTGATTATAAATTAGGAGTTATGAGACAAAGTTTTCATCTTTTCAAACTATTTTATTTACAAATTGATACATAAATAAGAAATAAAAATTACATATTAAAGAATTACGTCAAAAATTCTACAAAACAAGAGTTGACAAGGATATTTTATTTTATCAAATACTCAATGAAAATACACAAATAAACAAAAATTATCGAGAGAAGAGACAAGAAAAATTGTAATCTATGTCGGATTTAATATATTTCCTACGTCTCATAAATATGTTCCCGTTTTAAGTTTTAGGAAATTTTAGGAAGAGATAATTTGGTATTGATTTTCGGGTAAATTTCAGTAATAGTACCTGAACTTTCACTGGAATTTCGAAGTGGTACTTGAACTTTAAATCCTTTCACAAAAGTACCTGAACTTACATAATCCTTTCACTAAAAGTCCATTTACCCGTTTCTAGGTTAACTTCCGGTCATTTGGGCTAAATTAAAATTTTATATATTTTAAAATTTTCAATTTGACCTCATTTCTTTTTTTCTTGTTCTTACCCTCCCACTCCTTCTTAAGAAGAAGAAGAAGAAAGAAAGAAAGAAAGAAAGAAAGAAAGGGGTGAAAGACCAGACGAGGGCAAATGACCAGCTTGTGACCCGTTTTCTTCCAAAAAGAGTTCAAACTTGTGGTTGTGGCTTAGGAAAAGTTATTTATATTCTAACACTTTTATCTTCCATTCATCCCATCCCTCTGGAACCCCCACACGAATGGATCCACCATCTCGATCTATATACATACCTAATCTATCTATTGAGCCTTTTTTCTTTCTCGCGTAGTCGCGTCTTCTTCTTTTCTTCCTCGAGTTCACACCAGTTCAATCATTTTCATTATTATAAGTAAATAACAAATATATTGTTTATTAATTAGATAAAATAATATACAGAAAATGTTGTTGTTGTTATTGTTGAAGAAAAAGAAGAAGAAAGGGGGTGAAAGAAAAAGGAAAAGAAGAAAAGGAAGAGGAAAAAATTGGGTCAAATTGAAAATCTTAAAAAATACTCCCTCCGTCCCAAAAAAGTTTCTCCTTTCTTTTTTCACACGTCCCAAAAAACACTTCTCATTTTTATTAAAAGTCACTTTTACCCCTTACTTTTTCATACCCTACCTATCACATCATACCTTTTTACTAATAATCTATCCATCAAATCATACTTTTACCCATCACATCAAAAGACATTTCATACTTTTACCCATCACATCAAAAGACATTTTTAGAAATTCAATACCAAAATACACTCCTCTTAAATCTCTCTCCAAAACCAAAACTCCCGTGTTTTCCGGGACGGAGGGAGTATATAAAATTCTAATTTAGCTCAAATGACCGGAAGTTAACCTGGAAAAAGGATTTAAAGTTCAGGTACCACTTTGAAATTCGAGTGAAAGTGCAGGTACCATTACTGAAATTTACCCATTGATTTTCCTAAAATATCATTGATATATAGGTTGAGAATTAATTGGGGTAAAAATGGTTTTTAATAAAAAAAAGTGTAGGATTTTATGGGACAAGAAAAAAATGAAAGGGGAAGAAATTTTTGGAACGGATAGAATATATTTTTTATTTAATTATATGTCAAAAATTAAAAATCATTGATCGAAAAAAATCAACTAGACCAATACTCCGTGACTAAAGTAGTACAGAGCAGTTACATTTTTTTGAATTATATGAAATCATTATGTTCTTTTAGTTATATTTACAAATAACAAATTTGTGAAATTTAGCAATTTTTGTGAATCTAAACGTGTATCTAATGAACAGACCATACTCTCAATGTTGTTTTTTACGTTGTCACTTAAACTAGCATCGTACCCGTGCGATGCACGGGGAGCATTTCTTTATTATAAATGTCATTAATTAAACTTTAATTAAGAGTTTATATCATATAAAAAAATTCCCTTCTAAATACCTTAGGAAATTCTAAGGATAAAGATAATATTCCTATATAATAGTTATTCATAAGGAGAAAACAGACTAAATAATATTAAAACATTATTATCAAGTGATAATACATTACAAATGACACGACTGATAAAAACAAAAACACCTACTCGAAATTTTGCAAAGGGTACACCCCATGATCATCCAACAATAATAACAAACCGTTTGGTGACTTCCGACTCTCTAACTAGTGCGAAAGATTGAAGGGCGCAACTCGATCGTAGACTAAGGCCGGTGTATTTACTAAAAATAATATTGTGGTGTCAAAAAATGATCTGATCCGAGTCGAATACAATTTCAAAATGGGGAACCTAACCGACCCTAAAATCTATGAGGATCGGACCGACCCGGACCGTTATAAATTTTTGAAAAGAAGACCCGCCCCTAACCCAGACCGTTGTAAATTTTTAAGAAAAGGACCCGTTTGCCCACCCCTAATTGTTATTATTGGTGCCCCCATTCAAAATAAGAGAGTGCCCAACGGCCTCGACACCCAGCTTTTAAATATTTCTTCTTCTACATGTTATTTGTTTTGTATGTTTTAAGTTTACTTGCTCTATTTTGAATTAGCAGATTTGTGAAATTTAGCAATTTTTTGTGAATCTAAACGTGTATCTAATGAACAGACCATACTCTCAATGTTGTTTTTCTTACGTTGTCACTTAAATTTGGGCTGAAATCATATTCATTGGTATTGTATACAAGCCAGAATTGGAATTAGGGTAGCTATGGCGTAGCTTATTAGTTAATTACCCTAATTAGCAAATTGGTTATTTTCTCCATCCTTTTTTCCCAATCTCGCATTTATCTTTTCGTTTTATGGTCACATCACAATTTAAAAGCATGGCAAAAATCATTTGTTTTTATAGAAATGGCTTGAATTACACATATTCTCCATTTGTCAAAAAGAGCAAAAACTTATCTATCCATTCAATTTGTTTGTTTATTTACAGAATTTCTCAATTTGTTTGTTTATTTACAGAATATATTTATTTACTGGATATATTTTCAACTCAATTTAAAATTGTGATAAAAATGAAAAATAGATTTACTCCTCCATTGTATTACAGTACTAGTATTTTAACTCGTGCGACGCACAGGATCATACAAAATTTTGGTCACATTTTATCTTTCTTTTTAATATCAACACCAAGTACACATATATCTTGTTTTAAAATTTATGTACACCACCTCATGTCTCAAAAATAATAGCACAAAGAACATGAATCTTCAAAACTATATCAAAAAATTCAACAAAAATAGACAGCATATACGTAGTATTTCTTGGTGAAGTTATCAATAAGAACTAGTCAAAAAAATTATCAATTAGAATACTTAATGGAAAATATATACCTCATCCGCCATATAACTTTATTTTTGGTTACTATTCACATTAATAAATTTTATTCATTTTTTTGCTGATTTGCACAAGTAATTAGATAAAATAATAAAATTATGTCACTTCTTATGTCATTGAATGTTTTACATAGTTTTTAACTAAATTAATTTTGTTTTTTAAATTTTAACTTATTACAATGAAAAAAATTATTTAAAAATAATCTCAATGAAGTTCCATAAACTAAAACAAAAAACGTTAGGACTGAAAAGGTATAAGGCCCTGTTTGATACAAAAAATTCAAATTATGGAATTGGAATTGAGGATTTCAATTTCAATTCATGTGTTTGGTAGCACAAATATTATGTGAATTTGGAATTGATAGTGCAAAAAATGATTTGAAATTAGTGAATTCAATTCTATAGAACTGAATCTAATGAAATCCAAATTCCAATTCAATTACAATTATACCAATTTCGGATACCAAACGGATCCTAATTCAATTTCGTGCACAATAAATGCTTTTTTTAAGGAACGGACACCAAGAAAAATGCAACTGAGCCGAATTTTCACTATACTAATGCAGGAAATGTCATCAATTGGGCTTGAGAATATGGAGAAGGCGGGCCGGGAAAAGTAAAATGCAAAAGAGAATTGAAGAATTTGGGCCGTATAATTAATAAATAAATCACATTATGGGAAAATTAATAAAAAAATTGGGCCTGGAAATGCCCCAATAATTAATGAAACGGGGAGGCAAAAAAAACCCGTCGCCTGAGAGATTCGAACTCTCGCGGGGAAACCCCATGTACTTAGCAGGCACACGCCTTAACCACTCGGCCAAAGCGACGACGTTGTTATCGAACATGGACAGAGCATATAATCCTTTTGTCGTTCTCGTAACTGTCAAAATGCAAGCTTTATAAAATTCTCTCGAGGCTTCCGCTCTCTTCCAAAAATCCCAAAACGTTATCAGTCGGCGCAAAGAGAGAGAGAGAGAAATGGGAGTTGTGATTATCGACGGATTAACGGTTCGGAACTTCGTGAACGACGAAGATCTGTTCAACCGGGCGATCGACGAGCGGTTCGCGGATCTGGACCTCAACCACGACGGCCTCTTGTCGCGATCGGAGCTGCGGAAGGCCTTCGAGTCGCTCCGCCTCATCGAGTCCCACTTCGGCGTCGACGTCTTCACGCCGCCGGAGGAACTCTCCAGGCTCTACGACTCGATCTTCGCGAACTTCGACGCCGACCACAGCGGCAGCGTCGATCTCGCCGAGTTCAAAAGCGAGGTGAGGAAGATCATGCTGGCCATAGCCGACGGTCTCGGCTCGTCGCCGATTCAGATGGTGCTGGATGAGAGCGACGGCGATAAGAATTTCCTCAAGCAAGCCGCCGACAAGGAGGCGGCGTCTCAGATCTCCGGCTGAATGTCTCAGAAACCAACTATGGATTCGGCAGGTTAACGCGAATCCCCTGAAACGACTGTGTTTGGATTGTAAATTCAGTTGAATAACATGCCTCTGTATATTAAGTAAATAAATTATGCTAAACATTTGTGCGTTTATGATTAATCTTTTAGTATAATGTGATTATTTGTTGTTAATAGAAACATAGATTTTGATGCATAGCTCGGATACAAAAGTATATATAAACCAATCAATCGATAACAATTTCTCTAATATAAATCTTGCGGTTCATCGTAACTGGATGTCTTTAGCTGGGAGGATGATCTCTTCAGGTTAGGGTTGGAAATCGTCGGAGGAGGACGGCCGCCGTCTCTGGCGGGAAGGTCGCTGAGGACGGACATCAGGCGGCGGAAACTGACGGAGCGGGCGGGTTTCGAAAAGACGCCGGGAGAGTTGGAGAGGATTAAGTAGACCAAAAGTTGGACCACGAGAAACAATCCGACCTTCACCAGCACGCCGCCGCCGCCGCCTTCCGTATACTCTATCATGGTATCGATTAAGAGGAAGAGGATCGAACAATCCTTTATGAAGAAATTTCAACAATGAAGAAGGGAAAACGGAGAAGATTTTGTTGGTTGGGGATTGAAGAAATCGAATTGCTAATGAATCACTTGCGTGCAGGATGTTTATATTGAGGTTGAAATGGGTTGAAGATCTGAGTCAAAGGATGAAGGGGCCGGGCCGACCGACTTTTTTGACTTTGACTTTGACTTAATTGAAATTATCTCGAACTAAATAGTACTAAAACATACGTCATTTTCTAGTGTAGTATTTTATTTTTTTATTTTCTGAATAGTACTTGAATAATGTCTAGTGGCGGAAATAATATCCAAGGATGACAGATATTTAATTTGAACAATTTCCAATGTCGCTGGATATTTATTTGAACAATGACCAATAAACAATGACTAGAGGTACTACATTGTGAAATAAAAATATATGATACTACTTAGGAAAGTCATTATGTTTTAGTATCATTCAAGTAAATTTCTCTAAAGTAGTGTTTGGAAACTAGTATTTCATTTCAATTCATGTATTTTAATTTCAAAATTTAAAATTTTGAATTTTAAATGACAAGAGGAGATGCATAGATTTCAAATTAAAATTTTTTATGAATGACAGGAATTTGACTCAAATTCAAATCTAAAACTTTTAAATTTTTAAAATATAGAATTTGAGCCAAATCCATATTTGAAATCTAAATCCATGTTCTCAAACATACCATAAAGTTAAACTTATTCATGTTAACACAAAGCGAGCTACGGAATGAATTTAGAAATTACCATGTGTTTATTGTATGAAAAATGCTGATGTATCCTAATGTACCCCAAACATGTTATACCACACATTCTATAGTATAAGAAAAAAATATTATTAAAATTTGTGGTTCAAAATGTTTGGAGTTACGTTTGGGTTATACAAAATAGTGTACCCTTAGCATCTTTCTGTATGTATATATACAATATATATATACTCCTTATCTATTTATGAGTAAGAAAATGCACGTTAGACTTAGAACATACACGTTATAAATTGATGTATGCAATTTAGGGGCTGTTTGTTTCAGCCTCTTAATGGTTCAGATGTCTGAATGATTCAGCACTTAATGGTTCAGACTGTTTGTTTCAGCCTCTTAATGGTTCAGATGTCTGAATGGTTAAGAGATTTGCCTCTGAATGGTTAAGTATTATACAGAGTCTGAATGGTTAAGAGCTGTTATCTGAATTGATCAGACATTTGCCTCTGAATAGTTAAGCAATATACTAGCTCTTAATGGTTCAGACCTCTTACTGGTTCAGCACTTACCCATTCAGAAGTTGCCAAACAGCCCCTTAATAATTTCACATTGCTAATTAGTTATGTTCCTAAAATATATTTTTTTTAATTTTTTTTGTTTCTAATAGCATTTTCAGTCAATGAAATGATAAAAATGACATTACACAAAAACACATAATTACAATTCGAGTGTGCACACTATAGAATAAATGCAAGCACATTTTCGGGTTACTCTCCGTTTTATAAAAAGGTTTTACATTCCCTTTTTAATTCGTCTAAAAAAACATTCTCTTAGAAGAAAAATTGTGATCCATGAAGTTTTTGCTTTCATCTGCTTTGTTTCCAATGAGTAGTCTAGTGACATTTTATACTACGTAATTACGTGTTGTTCAATCTTAGGTTGGGCTTTACTAGATCATGGCCAACATTTGTGTCGAATGAGAACTCTGAACTATACGAATTTAGGGGCTGTTTGGCAACTTCTGAATAGGTAAGTGCTGAACTAGTAAGAGGTCTGAACCATTAAGTGCTGAACTAGTAAGAGGTCTGAACCATTAAGAGCTAGTATATTGCTTAATTATTCAGAAGCAAATGTCTGATCAACTCAGATAAGAGGTCTTAACCATTCAGACTTTGTATAATACTTAACCATTCAAAGGCAAATCTCTTAACCATTCAGACATCTGAATCATTAAGAGGCTGAAACAAACAGTCTGAACCATTAAGTGCTGAACCATTCAGACATCTGAATCATTAAGAGGCTGAAACAAACAGCCCCTTAGTGTTTTTGGCACGCAAAACATGTAATAAAATGGCACCCGAAAAAAAGATCCGGGTACAAGTGCTCAAACTGTGACATTTCTATGCCCAATGCAGGGTACACACACCGTTACGGTTGAAAAAACAAGACAGTAACTTGTTTATAGCATCATTATAGGTACAAAGTCAACGTCCGTGTGAAGTCGAACTATGGAAATTCTCATCTGATCTTCATCTTATGGCATATATATATGAAGAGAGAGGGCTTGTTTGTTGTTTGTCAACCACCAATATGTATCATTGGCCTGTTTGGTGTTTTTGCCAGGTCAAATATTCCAGCATGAGATGCCTTCTTTCTTCTAACCTGAGAGGATGATGTGGAAGACCAAGGGGTCAACGATGTCACAGATTTGACGAGACTGATAAAATGATAAACCAGACTAAAGTAAAAATAAAGTTACAGAGTGGTAAAACAAGATACTTACTGCACATTGAATGATTTCCCTTAGTTCATCATCACCAGCACCACGGCGAAGAGGAGCCCTCAAGCTAACCTGTGGGAACGAAATACGAAATGCTTGCTTTTAATCTCTAGTGGAGACAAATGACACTGATTTAGCAAACAATCAACACGTGCCATAAAAATGGAAGGAATTACAATTTACAACCCATTATTTTCAACTGATTTGTAATCTAATTCCGCACAAAAAGAACTAATTTAAAATAGTGATTAAAACTGAATTATTGAACTCATCAAGAGCTTTTCTGTTTGGTTTTCAGTTAGAAAGAACAGACTCTAAGGAAAGAAAGTTGAAAGTTCACCTCTGAGGGACCAAAAAGGCACACTTTGAAATTCCCATCGGCCAAAAGCCTCAACCTGTTGCAACCAGCGCAAAAGTGCTCAGTCATTGACGTAATGAAGGAAACGGTCCCTTGATGCCCATCTATCCTGAAATTCTTAGCTGTCTCTGTTGGATGATCCAAAATTCTTTGGAGCCCAGTAAACCGTTTCACCTGTTTGGGAAAAAAAATTGAAATTTTACACCATGCAAAAAAAAACAAGGTTCTTGAATTTATGCCAAGGAAAACAAGGTTCTTGGATTTATGCCATTATACCTTACCACTATGTCCAACATCTCTTTGTAAGGAACAAGCTTCTTCACATTCCACACGTTGCCATCGAAAGGCATGAACTCAATGAACCGGACATTGATCGGTTTCTCACGTGTCATCTCTACGAAATCACAAATTTCATCATCATTGAATCCACGCATTACAACACAATTTACCTGAATTGAAGCAGATTCAAGAAGAGATGAAAAAGTTATATGCAAGATTACAAGCCCGTATGGTATTTTGGTTGAAATTGTAGGAGAATTCGTTGTGGTTGCAGAATTTGTTGAATTATTACTCGTTCAGTCGAATAAAAATCAAGTTAAATTGTCATTTTCAACCATTTCAGCAAAAAAAAAACACTAACCTTTTGCATTAGTTTTCTCTCTTATCAACCGGTTCTTTTTAAATAGTCAATTAAGTTAGTGTTTGGTAAACAATCTAGCAGATAGGCAGAACTCAGTTCTGCAATCAAGGACTAAGATGACTATCCCACAAAAAATATGAGGATAACTTACTTTCACAGGATTATAGCCAAGATCAATGGCAGCATCAATGGATTCCATAACCCTTTCATGTCCTTTGCGTCTAGTCATGAATTCAAATTTTGCAGGGACCAAGGTGTCCAAACTGATGTTAACCAAATTAAGCCCACAGTCTTTCAAGCGAACAAGCTTTCTAGCTAAAGTGATCCCGTTCGTGGTCATAGCAAGAGTCTTAAGCCCTTCCAACTGCGACAGTTGAAGACATATATCCTCAAGATCCTTCCGAATTGTGGGCTCTCCCCCAGTTAAACGGATTTTATCCACTCCAGCGGTTACAAACAAATTTGCTAGGCGAACAATTTCACTATGGGTTAAAAGTTTAGGGTTAGGAGTGAGATCCACACCATCAGCTGGCATACAGTATTGGCACCTTAAGTTGCAGCGTTCCATTAAGGATATCCTCAAATAAGTGTGGAACCTTCCAAAAGTATCAACCAACATGTTGGAGAGACTATCTTTGGGTACACCAGAAGGCAACATATCACCGGAAACCAGCACAGATTTCTCTTTCTGATTATCAGCGACAAAAGCCTTGGCATTGCAGTTAACAGAATGGAACCTTGATATTGTACCAAAATTGTTCTGGAATATAGTAGCAAGCATCACTTCAATATCAAGTTGGAAAATTAACAGCTTAGAAATGGATATGCCATATGTAAAGCCAAAGGGCGTGCTATGGGTACTCACATAGTCTCACCCACTCTCACTCTTTCACTCCACTCTCACACTGAGAATGTAAATCGCACCCCAATCATATTTTGCCACATGGTTAGTTTGTTTTTTTCCCTTTTTCATTTAGAGTTCTACACGTAGCACAATACGACAAGGGGTGCAATTTGCACTCTCATGGTAACTTGGTGAGAGGGCATATAGTACATTTCTTGTCAAACAAATAGGCAATTTTTATATTTCTTATCAAACAATACATTAACAATATGCTTGGTTCAATGAATTCACAAGGAACACCAACAAAAACAACCCAATTATATCACAGGAGAGTAGGGTCCCGGGAGGGTGTGTGTACGCAAATCTTGCCCCTACTCAAAAGTAGAGAGGCTGTTTCAAGAGACCCCCAGCTCAAGCTGTACGGAATTCACAAGGAATATATAAGAAAATGACTTTCTCTCATTTTCCTTACCAAAATGGGAGGAATTTTGTTTTCCCTCCTCTTAATACATCATGCCTTCTCATTATCTTTTCATTCCAATTTTCTTTTCTGTACCTCCCTAACCAAACAAGAAAAATTGTTTTTCATCTCATTTTCTTTTCTCTTTCAAATTCCTTGAACCAAACGTAGTTTGAGTGTAACTCATTCAAAATATTCACTCAAACAAAATAAAAACAAAAACTAAAAGCATTGGTTTCATCCATCTCTATGGAAGAATACTTCTACACCACTGGTTTCCATTATTCATCCAAAAATCAGTTCCTTTTGGTTAATTTTACTGCAAAATTAGGTCACGAAACTTGCCAACATCCACTAAAAGTTCATCATACAAGCATCCCTAAACATTTCACTAGCAGAATCAAGAAAAGAACACTGAAATCATAAACAAGCAATATTGAAAAATAGTATGCTGCGTACCGCCGGATTGAAGCTCCCACCGCTCCGACAAAGTTGCCACCGGAAAGATCCTCGAACCAGGGGCCGCATATTGGAGACCCGGCGGTTTCTCTGGCCTGGTGAGTGAGGTTTGGTAAAGTAAAGGAGAAAACGAAGAGAGAAATGAACACCAAAAGAGGATGGTCAATTTGCTTGAGCTTATTCGGAAGTAAAGGTTCTCTTTGGTTGGGACTTTGGAGTTTTTCCAAAAATATGTTTTTAGATGTAAACTGTTTTTTTTCACAAAGATTGTAACAAAAAGTACTTCATCTTAACTTTGTAACAAAAACGTACCTTTCACCAGAATTGATACCCTCCGGCGAAGAATTGATGAGGTGGCATCCATGTTGGCATACCCCCATCTTTCTCTCTCCTACGTGTTAATTATACCTTTTCTTCTTAAATTTTTTTTTCTTAAAAATTTTAGAAAAATATTTTTATGTTCAATAAAGAACATGTTTCATTATGACAATATAAGATTAATTTAAATAAAATTTTTCATGTATTAAAATTTTTAAAATAACAATTAATTCTTTGCAAACAAGTTTCTTTTTAATTATATTTGGAAAATATAATTTTTTATTAAAAAAATTGAATTAAAGAGAAGATGATGAATAACCTATCAAGATAGCCTAACGTATTTTACACATTCTAGTTAGGCTATCTTGATGGGTAATGCATCATCCTCTCTTTAATTCAATTTTGTTTAATAAAAAATTATACTCCGTATTTTCTAAATATAATTAAAAACACACAAAGCACAAGCTCACATCTTTGTAAAAAAAGTTAATCACATAGAAGTTAATGAAAAATATAAAATAATTCATATTTTAAGTATGAATTTTGAAACCATTTAAGTGTCACTTTTGAAAGTGATGAAATATTGGAGGGAGAAAATGGCAACTTAGAGCACGAACAATGGCAAGTCATATTCTGGAATGCCACACGCTGACATGACACAGTTCAACCAATCAAAGTTAATCTAGTCATGTAGTGGCATGGCATTGGAGTGGTACACCCTCTAGTGGCAAGTAAACATAATATGCAGTATATCAATTTCCATATCATATTCAAAAGTAGGCCTGGACACGGTACCGGTGCGGTACCGTCACCAGCACCGGTACCGGCAGTACCGAGTACCGTCACCGTCACCGGAGACGACCTACCGGTTCCGGGAACCGGTACCGGTACCGCCTCAACCGGTACCTTGTCCGGTTCCCAATTTACGTCACCGGTGCCAGACCGTTTTTTTTCTTCTTTTTCTTGCTCATGCGCCCAACGGAAACCTGCAAAAGAAAAGAAAGAAAAGTCAGTGAGGGGGGCGGCCTCAATCAACGGCTCTTTGAGCCGTT